AGAGAACACGCCGCTAATTCTCTTTTCAGTGGGCCCCAATGAGAAACGCAAGCGTTGGGCAAACACTAGCAAACCAACAGAAAAGATGGGAGGAGGAAGAGAAGGGCAGGGAGAAAAATAACTCTGGAGTGAGTCAGTTGCGATCCTCCTGCTTAGTCACCTGAAGTCCTTCTTTGCAGACGCACCAGAGATGGAGAAGATGCTGCCTGCCTTCCACCCACCTCCTCCTCCTCCTGCCAAGGAGCTGGAAAAAAAAAATAGGAAAGAGTTTTAGGAGACAACGAGGAGCTGAGCTGACAGCAAACGCGTTTGCTCATGCCTCCCACCCCCTCCTGCCCACCCTCCTGCGCCGATTTATTTCTCAATTAACTCATCCCCAATCAACCTGTTCAGTGGCTGTTTTAAGCCTCGCCCGCGGTGCCCGGCTGTTTTGACACGAGAGGGAGTTGCCATGGAGAAGAGAATGATGTCATTGACACAAAAAGCACCGAATTTACAAATACGACAGGAACAGAGCTATTTATAAAGAGCTGCTTTTCTTACCTCCACTCCTCGCCTCTTTAAGGGGTGGGTGGAGGCTAAGGCAGCAGTTCCATTCTTGCAGTTCCTGTCAACAAGTCTTAAGAAATGAATTTTCCCATTAGAAAAATATTCTGAGCCCTTGAAATTGCTGAATGCTGTCAGCTCATRGACTTCATTCATTAGAGCTGGATTTAGCTTTCCGGCTCATAGCTATTTTTGAGGTCATAGAACGTTTCATATTTGTACACCAACTTCTAGCATGAAAAAAAAAAATCACACAGCATTACTGCAAGGAAGGTCAGCAGCACGTGACACAGCTGGATGGACAGATATCCTCTTTTATGTCAAAGCCTCGTRCTGCTTTTAAGCACTTTGGATAACAGCCGTGACTGTTGGTTTTGCCCTGACCATGTGGGGAGCTATTGGATTTTAAAGCAACCTTTATATAATAAAGCATTTAATGAGTACAAATATTGCAAAGCTCAAGAGTGAGCAAGGTAAGATGGTTAATTTAAAATGTGAACAAAAAAATCATTTTAGCACGTAGTTAAGAAAAATTGGAATAGAGGGTGGTTTAAGGTGACAGAAGAGCTATGATAGATGTCAAATGGGTATTACTTACATGCACAGCTCCCAAAACAAACATGCAAACATCCATCAAGCACAATTCCAACCTGACAATGCTGAAAAGCTGGATGCAAAGCAGAATTATTGCACTGATGCAGTTTAAGGTGCTAAATTCAGCTTTGAGTTCTACCCACGTGAAAAAAAGAAGAGAAATAGCTTAGCTTTTGSTGGAAGTCAACAGCCAAGTACAGCAATCCCCCACTGGCTTAAGCAAATAACAGCATCAGTGGTAGTGATGATGCTCCAATTTCAATCTCTGAATACGGGCTGATACCAAAACATCTTGTTGAAGTGTTACTGGTTRTGTTGCTCATTCAGCTGCCTCCAGGACTTGGGAAAGGGCAGGAATCATTCATCCACATGCAAGCTAGGGAAGGCAGGCTCTTCTGCCCAGTATCCCAAGCAAGACCAGGAAAACTGCTGAGAGCGAAAGGCAGGTCTTTGGTCTGGAAGGCTGCTTCTCTGGGCAATAGAAGGTCAACAAAGCTCCAAACACTGGCAATGTGAACAGGGTTTGCCCTAAGCACCCACAGATCCAACCGCTTCAAGCGGTAACTAAAAGGGCCAGAGGACTCTGGAGAAGCAGAGAATTTGCTTACCTCTCTTTTATAACAAGGCTCATAACTGGAATATCATTTCCAAATTTGCCCTCCACTTTCATAGGAGATGAAGGATAATAATATTTTTCCAGTGTTTAAGTCCCATTAAATAAAAAAAAAGCATATTCCTATTACACATTCCTATATCTTAGACCAAYGAGGGCCTATTATGACAGCTGCCTGCACAAGTTTTCAGCAACATTTTCTGTTCCAGGCTGGGCCAGCTGCTTTCAGCTGGCATTGGGGCTTTACATCKTGATATAAAAACTGCTGCTTTTACTTGCGCAGGATTTAAGCAAGATCTAAGGAAGAACAGGAAACGCTTTGCTCAAACTTTTAGAGAGAAGAATCTTGTATGGCTCCCCTGCAAACAAAACAGGAGGAAATAACAGCACCACAACGAGAACCACCCGTGTGTATACATTACCTGATCCTCAAGGGAGGCAGTGAGGAGGAGGGGGCCGGCCTCTTTTCAGTGGTGGMCAGCAATAGGACCAGAGGAAACGGCCACAAGCTGAGGGACCAAAAGTTCCACAGGAACTTAAGGAAACATTTCTTGACAGTGAGGGTGACAGAGCCCTGGAACAGGCTGCCCAGAGAGGTTGTGGAGTCTCCTTCTTTGGAGATCTTCAAAACCCTCTTGGATGCAGCCCTGTGCCACATGCTCTGGGTGACCCTGCATGTGCAGGGGGGTTGGACTAGATGACCTCTGAGGTCCTTTCCAACCTTAAGCATTCTATGATTCTATGATTGTTACTCCAGCTTCAAAGAGGGAACTATATAATTCAAGATACTAGAGAAATACATGCCTGGAGATTCAGAAGAGCTGGAGAAGCCAACAAAGGGTCAACACAGAAACTAAACAGACATTTGCCTTGTCAGCAGCCGGGCAGCCATAGGATCAATAACTCTATGGCTTTAGATAGGGCTTAGGACAAGAAGAGGGTAAGGGTCAAGTATTTATGTAGCCAACAAAAGGCACCAGGTTATTCCCAGAGGCTATGGAATGACCTTAGTGCTACACTAGAGTTTGATAGCTTAAAATACTCCATGAGGTTAGCCCAAAGCTATTTTGGAATATTAATTATTTGGAAAAAATCAGCAGCAGCACCAAGGAAAGATTTAGAATTGCTTCCTGATGCACATATAGGAGATAGAGTTTTTCTACTTTTAAAAATACACCTGCAATTTATACATTAAAACTTAAAAAATGGATTTAATGTATGGCAGGCTATGCTTAAAAAAGTCTGAGACTATGGAGCTATTAGCATATCAAGCTTTAATTCCAATGAAAAGACTTCCTTGAAAAACACTCCATGATGGGGTAATGAACCAAAGTAAAACTAATTATTGCACAGAATCTACAGTTTGGTAGATCAGTCATCTTTAAATAACCAAAAGGAGTGGCATGTGAAATATAAGCTGACAATGTCCTTCATAAAAAATAACTCCCTTTTTTGGTCCAATTATTCTTTCCTTTTGTTGGCCAGAGATAGGACCAATGGCTTGCTAGAGCCTCTTTAAAAATCTTATCATGATGCTGCTTTTCAACTCAGTCAGCAAAACTTCAGTGATGCTGATGAATAGTCTTCTTACACAAGAATATTACAACTGAGCCAAAAGGTAAAAATGGAAGAAAATTCTGCAATTACAATAAAGATAATAAACACTGAAATAATTCAACATGCTGAAATAATTCAAAGCCTTCCAAACATTCCCATTCAAGTCACATCAGTGTTCTCAGTATCCAGAATGAATGCTACTTTCTGGGAACAAGGAGGAACTCACTCTTTGGGAAGTCATAAAAAACAGAATTCCTTCGTGGGACCTGTGGGACCAGCCAATTGGGAGTGCACTCTGGCCCTGCTCTAAATGTAGAGATAAGGTTTTAATATCGACTCTTCACGTCAGTCCCACAGAAGGAGAGCTCTGGTGGCCTGGAATACCAGGGGATAAGCACCGTTCTGCAGGCTGGACACTCCCATCAAGGCTTGGATCCCCTTTTGGAAAAATCCTTATACATTTTTCTTTGGCAGCAAGAAAGCCTGATGAGAGTCATAAACAGTTCTGCTTTGCTTTCGAACTATCTATGGTCCTATGTGAATTTAAGGYTGTAAATGTAATCCCACCAAATTACCTTCATATGCTGCTCAAGTTTTGTTATTTTTAAGMTGTTCTTAAATTATAGGGATCCATAACAGAGGCTATAAACAAGGAAAAAATGTTCAATGATATTCTGCCTTTAATTTTGGATCCCATCACCCAACCATTGCTTTCCACTTAATATAAAATGCTGGAGAACATTATCATTCTTACTATTTTTGAATAGAGAGAAATAGATAGAAAGCAGATAAGCTATAGGAGAAGGAAGAAGAAAACAGGAGTTACAGGAATTGAAAAAATTTATTTCAAAGAACTTCACTTAAAAAAAATCACCTTTCTTCAAGTCTTTGTCCAAAAAGATATCTTTTCTTAACCATAAACAGTCCCAGCTTGACAGTAGGATAGCCTAGAAAACCTTGTTACTACTAATTTTTAAGATTTCTAGACTTATCCCTGTGGAAGAAGATATAGAACAGGATACCATTAGTTTTTGGATCCATTTTAACATCCTTGGCTGAATCAGGACCTTCGTTCTAGGGGCAGAAGGACAAAGAATTTAAATAATTCAGGGAGGATTTCTTAAAGACTATAGGAATTACAATAAGGCTTCAGGACAAAAAGGCACATAAATACTCCTGAATGAGAAGGCAGATATGAACTAGTCCTTCCAGAAATTTTAAAATAAAGACCATTTTGTAGGAAGACAAAACCCCAAAATCTCTTGAACTGCTGCAAACCCACGAAGCCAGGACTGCGATACAGAACTACTAGTGATGTGGTCCTCTCGTCTCACATCCATACATGTATGAGAAGAGCTGTGAAGAAATCCATCACAAGTCTGTATTTAAGCTCCTCATCATTCAAAGTACTCAAGGCATCTTGGTTTTGTATCCTGTAAATTCTGTTGAGTCTCTAATAAAAAATGGCACAAGCCTTTGTATCAGTTTCAAGTACACAATGCATAAATATTTGTCAAAGGATGATAAAAATAACTCAGATACTTTAGCACATATGGCAATTTTAGCCTTCAGAGACTTCCAACAGATGCTCAATATGGTCAGTAACCCAAACCCACAAAAAGGAAAACATGTTAGTTTTTTAGAAGCAAAACCATTAGTTAGGCACCTTCTCCACCATAACTTCATCTCATTCTGCTACAATACATGAGGGTGTGTTCCAAGCAGAACAATTCAAGCTGTGATTAAGTGTCCAGAAAGTCGCGCAGTTATGAAAGCCGCTACCAAATGAGCGTCTTTAGCTTCTAGCATGAAGAAATCCCAATCAGGCAGAAACACATCACTGTGGACACTCATCAAGTCTTTTGACACCAGAGCAGTGCTTAACAAGGCAGAATTGCTATCAAAATACAAGTTTATTGATGAAACAGTGATTAAAAGCAGTACTGGAAACCAGCTATAGGTAAGAGGAAGACTTCAGAGACTGCAGTATGAACACCTGAAGTACACTTAAAGAGCTGTACAAAAAAACAGGAAGAAGGGCAGGTATGACAGACAATGTTCTCTGGCAAAACGCTCCGACACCGACAAGTTTATGTAGCAGGTCAGGACACTTATCTGTGCAGTGATAACAACAAACTTCCATTAGCAGCTCCACGTAAAAATACTGTAGAAACAACCATCATCATTGTTCATACTTACATTTGCAAATAAATAACATTAACATCAGATTCCCTTACATAATACAAAACAGGCTTGCTCTCTAGAAAGTCAGAGGAAGTTCTCCAAGAGGAACGTTTCTCCAAGGGCTGCTAAGGATTCACAGAGACGTTCTTGGAAAGAGCTGTCAAACATGTCACTTATTTCCTCTCTCAGCTCCCGCAGCAGAGGCACCGTGGACTTACCATCTGCATTCAGAATCCTCCCAAAAAGCTTGCTCCAGAAATTCCTGCCAACAGTCCTAAAGACAAACAGAGGTGTTTTCAGTGGAACAATATAGCACATGGTGCACATCTGTTAATTCTTCTCTCTACATTCAGCTCTAAATGACCAGGCTAAAACAACAGTTTCATTTACGTGAATGACTGTAAAAGGAGTGTTTGGTTAAGGTTTATCCATGCACACCCTTCTTTATCCCCGTGGCTTCTGAGCAGCAACTTGACATTCAGCCTGTTTCACAGGTCCAATCAAAACCACTGTGCTTACACTGTTACCTCTTTCAGGGTACCTGACCACTGCTCACACTGAGCCAAGAGGTTTTTAGATGAGTACCAACAGGATTCTCTGAACCAACAAAGCTGGCATATTTCTTTCCTGAAAATGGGTTAGATATAAATCTTAGCTTGTAAATAGAGGAGTACTCTGAGTAGTTTGCAGGTCAATATTAAAGGAAAGTCGCAAGAGAAATATGAAAAACGAGTGGTTTACAGACAGTCTGACTCCTTTTTTCTTCCCTATCCATCTGCCAGGGCTCTCCTACAGATAACATTTCAAAGACAGTTCACAGTAATAAATCCCCCATCTCACAGACAAAACCATGTAACATGAACAAAAAGGTTAAATGACTCATTAATGTCAGGAAAATAGTATTATTTATTTTTCAGCCTTGCACTGAAARAGTTCATGGTGCTTCAGATCACTAAAGTGCTTTTTCCCCCCTCCAGGTAGGGCTCAAAAACCAAAGCAGCAAGTGATCACCCTCTGTTTTAGGGAAGTGACTGACAAAGCAGCAGCCACACTCTCAGCAGGGATGTAGCTTCTACTATTAAACTAATAATCTCTCGTGTTTTCCAAGTTAGCAGTCACAGGAGCACAGCAGAAAACTTGTGAGACTTGAGGCTTAGGTCTAAGGAATATGACCCAAATTCCTTTCCAACTGACCCCTCCCCTTCCAAGCACTCCATAAAGGTCACTCCCATCCTTCCAAACTCAAAAAGTTCTTGTATCTACTATTCAGCTCCTCCTGCTCCAACTGCTCAGACACTTAGGGTTCCCCTCTCTCCCACCCCCTTCATACCATGTCCTGATAAAAAATGAACASAGAGTAGTACTATTTTTCAGGGTAGGTCAGATTCACTTAGCTAAAAATAAGAAGTGTTGGGATATCTGTCAGTACAGAGCAAAAACCAGTCTGCATCAGTGATTTAGCCCTTAATTGGTTTTTACTATTCTAAAGTTGAGGCATTGAGAGATATATATTTATTGCCAACCTACAGATCAGTGGTATCCCTCTCTCCAGAAAACTATCAACCCCGGTCATTTTTCCTCTGCAGCCACTACAGTAAACCAATCACCTGAAGAATAAAAGGCTTCAGGGTGCAGTAGAAAAATGCATAGTGAGCACTCAAAGCCTGCCAGAGCCTTGCAACTAAAAGTGCTCATCTATAACAATAGGTAACAAAAATATATGCAAAATAAATCACTCTCTCTTGTGTGCAGCTCAGAGAGATAAGCTTTTTTGCAAAGGCTGAATGCAACAGAACTAGGGAAGTATAAACAACACAGGTCGCTTAGGGACTGGACAAGTCCCATACTGGTAGCAGGTTCTTTAAGTAATGGTTAGAGAGGTATATCCATACACTGAACGTGGCCCGTATACCAGGATCCTGAACGCTGGCAGCTCTCCAGTGATATCAAGTTTATATCATAAGCAGAATGCTCTGGAACAGCCCTATGAAAGGCTAAGGCAGAAAGGTTCTACAAGATGGGAGTGCTGAGATGAGCAGGTATTTGCTTTAAGAACAAACACAGGGTAGATGAACATAGAGTAATCTTGTAGACAAAACATGTGGCTAAAAGGGAGCAGTAGAAATTAACATTTGGAGACTAATACCGCATCAAAAAAAGAGTGGTTGCCCGTGCAGCTTAAATTATACATGCACAAGAAGGAAAATAAAGTTATACTGTTTCTGCAACAGTTACAGAAGGAAGCCTGGCATCAACACCTTACTAGCGTTCAGTGGAGCTTAGAAGAAAGAGCAGAAAATCCAAAAAATCTCCATATCTAAAGCAACATGTTCATGTAATTTCTCTCTCACTACCCATGCACATGTAGAACTTCCCCAAGCCAGGTCTATGAAGTCAGAGAGATTAAGGCAGGTCTAGAAAAAGGGAGGAAAAACCCCACAAGTTAAGTACTCTGTAGGGCTCCTTCAACTTAAAACGGTCTCAAACATAGCACTGTAGTGTAGTTTGAGTACATTATAGTCCTTAATGTTTGTATAGTACTTGGTGTTTGAGTGCTCTGTACTCAAACACTAAGTACCGTAACACATCAAGCGCTACAACTTTGGAAGCTCCTGGACTTGTTCGTTGCAACTCTCCATAGCACAGCATTGTTGGTGCCAAGAGCATAAATTCTGTGTTCAAGCTTTGAAGATGTAAAGAAAACACAGGAAATTTGAAAAAGTCTGTTCTTTCCCAGCAGCCCCCTCTGAAGGAGGACTTACTTGGACATATTTTGGCTGATTTTCCAGGTGAAGTTTTCTTGATAGACCTGGACGTGGTTCCCAAAAAGCATCAAATGGACTATATCTGCAATGCCAACCAAGTCTACCTGCAACCACAATAAACAGAGGGTTAACTCATCTTGATTTCTGCAGTCCATAACAGATTTTATGGACTGGCACTTCTACCCATTTAAGGCTCAATTAGTGTTTACATCAGAATCATCCAGAACACTGCAAAAGTTCCTAAGTAAGTATAGCTCTGACAGAAACTCAGCAAATCCAGAACAGTGCTGCTAATCTCTTCAAATGCAAAATATGTATTTAGATGATGACTAAAATAGCCAGCTAAATATAGACTCGCCTGATAAGGAGAAGAACTGTTTGCCAGGAGCTGTTGTCCATAAGGGGTCTGAGCTATTGGAAAGCTGTTGAGCAAATTTATCTGAGACCGCAGCTTCAAATCGAGGCTGTGAGAGAAATCCACCATCTTCAGAGCACTAGTCATCTCATCATTAGCAAACGGATCACAGATCCTACATGAAGAAAACAAATGTTGCAGGTGACAAGCCACCATTTTTTGTGTTTTTTCCAACTGGGAAGTGAAGGTGTGTCTCACGTAACCTATGTCAATGCTCCCCTCTGATGGTTAGCTTAAGAACTACTACTGAAAGGACTCCACCTTGAAGGAAGGGGAGCCAGACCCCTTCAGACCSCTCAGTATTCAAGATAATACTGGTATCTCCAAAGAAAGTTATGAAAAGCACTAAAGCAGTCTAGAAAATGTCTCTTGCTCAAAAACCTGAACTACATCAGAAGCCTAAGCAAAGGTGACAAATTGCAACAGGAGCTGTAGCTGAAATTGTCCTCCTATATTGGTATAAAGAGACGAACCTGTCTCCCAGAAAGAACACCTCTGGACTCAGGTCTCCGTGGACGATCTCTGCTTTGTGGAGCTTCTCTACAACACCCAGAAGATTATAAACCACCAGCAGAATAACTTCCTCTGAAATGTCCTTTCGCTCACGAATAATGTCCTGAAGATAGGGAATAAAAATAGTTTTTTTGTGCCATTCTACCTAAACTACAATGGAATATTTATAGCTTAGCAACATACTAAATACCTTATGCTGTGTCATAGCAGGCTAGAAGTCTAGAAGATGCCAAGATAATCAACTAAATTTGAGATGCAAACCCCATTGTGAAATAAAAATGCAGTTCTTGGCTCACATCACTTGTCACTTTTGTGATTAAAGTCAAAAAAAAAGTTTCAATTAGTCTCAGAAACGAGAAGCTAGAACTGTCCAAGGCTGTAATAAACATTTCTTTGCATTTAGACAAAACAAAGCCAGAGTATCTAGACTACAGGATTAAACATGTGAAAGTTTTCAGGAATGACTGGCAAAACTCATTGTTGGTACCCGAAGGGGTTCATGTCTTGTACAGTTACACTTTGGCCATTTGTACTAACCCCAAGCGTAAAGCGGTTGATATCCTTGTGTAGKACAGCACAGCCATCTTGGTAGAGGAAACAGCTGCAATTTTCACTGAAGCTTTGGTCAAAATCAGTATTCAAACGCTCCTGTAGTTGAAGTATGATATAAAAATCCCAAGGTACAGGCTGAGAATACACCTACAGGCAGGTACAGAAGAACATTTATTTTTGGAATAAAGTAGAAATTGCTCATTTTCATTCCCCCCCCCCCATTTTACTGTGGAACACATTTTCCATAAACAGAAACTTTTCATTTATATTGATAYTTAGAAAGAGGTTCTGGAATAGCTCACTTCATGCCGGGAATTAAGAAATTAAAACCAGATTTACTCTACGGTAGACTAAAACAGCTGATGAAAATTTAACGTTTCATATTTCATATATAATTAACACTTTACCTTTATTACAAATCCCTTTGCATCCAACTGGGGAAAATTAGCTGGTACAGCAAAACACATCTTGTATTCTTCATCAGCCCAATATTCCCGTTTGATACAGTAAGTCTCATTTCCTGTAATCAAAGTTCACAATTAAAGTGTAACATCGAATAGGYACCACCAGACCATTCAAGCTATTACCCACCTGCCCACCAGAAATTTGGCAATGAGGATGAGCGTGAGATGTTACAAACAGTTTAGAACGTGAAGAGATCCTTTGCACTCTAGCAAGTTGGTGGCTCTTACCTAGATCAAATTCTTTCTCAATCAGCATCCTAGGCAGAGACTCATTCTCCAAATGAAAGCATGGAGAAGCAGTCAGTGATTCTGGCATAGGATCGAGGAGCTTTTTCCGCTGTTCATTATTCCACAGCAACTGAGTTGTGTCATCACCTAGGACGACAAGCAACAACCAGTTGAGCTTAATCTAGGTGTTGAAGTCCTTGAAAGGATCATATTTGACCAGCAGAGTGACATGGTCATTGCAAGCATTTACCTAGACTTTATTTGTAAGCTAAAAAGTAATGCAGGAAGTCAGTAAAGCGACTTCAAGACAGGGAAAAGCAATCGGAACAATTGGGTTTAGCAAACAGAATCCTCAGAAAACTAACAGTCTAATTTTTCTATTTCTGAATTTCAGCCTGTTACTCCTACCCATGCCTTGCAATACCTTAAGTAACTTCTCCTTCACCTTTGTGTTAATATCTTTTTAGCTGTTGAAACTACGTCCTCACCGCATACTGTGGCTAAATGAGTATGATGGAACTGAACAAACACTGCACAAGCCATAACCAACTGAAAATATCCAGAAAGAGTACAGAACGTGGAGTGAACAGAAAAGACCATAATTTAGTTGTAGCTGCAAGTTATTTGTGGTGAGGGAAATTCAGTTTGAGTACTAACCAGTGATGTTTTCACCGATTCCTCCAGAATCRGTAACAATTTCAGCAGGCAGGCTCTGAGCAAGCTCCAGTTTCTCAGGGATATGAAGATATTTAATAGTGGATATTTGTGTAACAGAGGAAAGAGAAGATCCCGGGGAGACAGAAGACCCCGACGAGCGAGTATCTTCCTGACTTGCTTCCATGATTGGGCTGTAAATAAAATAATCAATTATTCAGACTAGCAGAAGATTCTAGTGTGTAGAAAATGATGGCTAGTGTCTATAAAAGTATTTCATGCATCCATAGACTTCTTTGTTAAAGATGTCCTTTTCATCTCTTGTGAGGAAAATGGGCAGGTATGTTGGTGCATTACCTTAGGTCTGATAATTGTTTACACTCATTCTTCGTATACTGATTATTTTTAATCGTATTTTACATTAACTATACCTGCTATAGAATAGATACTGAACATTTATTACTGACCTAGTTACCAGAATACAGTCCTGGCATACTTTTAAAGGTGTGCAAAGGGGTATCATTCTTGCTCTTCTTCCCTAATTATAATCAGCATGGCTTCCCAGGGTGTTTATTTTCCCAAACAAACACCTTCAGCTTGCTGTACATATTTACATATTAACAACCAGCAAACCAAGCTCGGTTCTAAATTAAGAAAACACAATTCAATCCATGCCTTCTTGACAATGGTAAGCAACAGCCAGTTATCTGACAGAATTTTCCTCTCTGCACAAGAAATCTCAATCATAATCATCAGATCTCTTTTGTTCAAGTTACAGGAACATTCAAGTACAAAAGAATGTCAATGATTCTACTTTCAGTCTCTGGCGTTAGAAAGCATTTATGAATTTCTTTCATGCAGAAAGAAAATAGAGTTAAATACTGCAGTATGACCAGTAAGAAGTCAAAAGAACTGTTTTTTTCCAGCAGCTCAAGGCACATTGGACTTTAAGTTAGAGAAAAGAAGGTAGTGTTAAGCACACTTTGATATCTTAGCAAAACTGTTTCTAGAGAAATATAAAACTGCAGCCACAAACACATTGGAAAAAGATAGTAGATGCCTTGCTATAATTACCTCAGTTTCTTGGCACAGAGAGCTTCATTGTATGTTCCCTCACAAACAGGGATCTGTTGATTCAGAGAGGTGCTCTTGGATTCTGGACAATCTTCCTTGAGGGTACTCTCTGAATAAGCAGGAGTTGGAATTCTCTGAGCTAACATTCCATGGAAGGGGGTGGAGGCCAGATGGGCAGCCCTAACAAAGTCACAGGTGTCTTCTGGGTTGGCACAAAAGGTTTTGTTCTTGTAAGAGCCTGTCACGATCGCATCTTCAGTCAAAGGTTCAATTCCATTCAGCTCATCCTGCAACAAATAGGAAAACAAAAACCTGTGCATTTCACGTCAAARCATTTTTATTAAAGAGCTGCCTTATCCCTCCCCCAATTCCCTGTTATCAAATTGATAAATTTTGCCAAGATGTGCTTCATGTTCTTAAATTCATGCCAAGCAAAAGCAGTAGGCAAATAACTTTGTAGGCAGTTACTAGATGTGTTAATATTTTACTTTAAATTTATTGACCATACAAGTTCAGTCACTGAGTTTTTAAACTGGTATACTTGCCTCCCATATAGAGAGAAGCTTTATACCATCTTTATCCCTCTTATCTTGCAGGAAACTCTTTCCTTTAGACATGCCAGTTTCACAATAATGTCTCACCTAGTCATTACAATAAGGGTTTCTCCCTCCCTTCTTCCATCCTACCACCTATCAGCTTGAGCCCGACATCTTGTCTTCAGGTACTACTTTATTCCTTCTCTGCAGTGGGTAACTGAACTGTAATATATTTGCCTAAGTAGAAAGGGTGGCACAGTTGCATTCTAGAGTTACCGTGAACTATGAAAGGCTATTTGCTGTCTGTCAAAGATATAGCTGCATTTCTGTTCAGTTAGAGCCCATAATTTAAGAGTTGACTAGGGTTGGGTATTGAAAACAACTAGAGCATGCAAAGCAGCACTATGCAGATACCCCGAGGAAGCCTACCACCAAAAGCAGCACAATGCTCATCAAGAATTACTTAACTCTGTGAGTTATTTCATAAGGCAGTTATACTGTAAAATCCTCCCCAGCTCAGAAGAAAATCCTCTCAGTTTAACACTTTACTGCTGGCATGCAGTAACAAAGCCCTTTGATGAGACAGCAAATCACAGCTCTAGTGATTGCTTTACAAACATCCACAAAATGGCCAGAATGGTTTGGGAGAGTTTAGGATGCAGGGTGCACAGATTTAGGGAATTTGAGTAGGTGGTACTTCAGGTGAGAAACAGAAAGCTGAAATGCTTGTTCAGATACGCAGTACAAAAAGGATGCACAAGACAAGTCTTCCTCACACAAACATTTTTTCAAATGGTTGTGGAGTGAGCACTTGACCACTAGTCTCTTGCTTAAAATTTAAAGGGTCTCTGCTACCATGTCTGTATTAACAGCTTTGAAGTCTCAAAAAAACCCCATAAAGTTTCCAGCGTAATCTAGCACTGCTGTGGATTCTTGATGCTCACATATCAATAACTTGGCAGTCCAGGCAATAACTACTCAGCTCAATATAAGGAGAAGCCAACTCTCCTAATCAGGGAATCTGCTATAAAGGGTTTCCTTACACAAGCTTCTGGTGGAACGTTTTCCTTTGCAGTGAGAGAATCCGAAGGTTTACGAATAGCAAGAGGGCGCCGGGCACTTTTCTGTGTGTGACCTGTAGAACAACTAAGATAAAGTTATATCGTGTTAAGTATTTACTAGAACACCTTCTGGTCAGAGATTTCTCTCAACAACTTAGGTTTACTGGCCACTTCTGTCGGAGCCACTTCCTAAACCAGAAAATCGCGGTGTATGGGGTCTCTAGAAAAACATACATAGTACCCCAAGTGGTTTGTGAAAAGATCCAGGAGAAACAAGGAAAGATTTTCTGTCTATGTACTCTCCCCAAGATTAAAAACAAATTAAAACAAACAAACAAACAACACCCAAGCCCCCACAAGAAGCAATTTATCTGCAAGAGAAAGTGGCTGGTACTTTAGTTATTCGYCTCCCTCCCAAATCTAGGTCTTCAATAACTCAACCTTGTATTCTGGTTTGCTGAAGCAGATGTTTCATCAAAAATAGAAAAAAATGTAGCAGGTTCCACTGGAGGAAGAGCGACATCTATAAGGGAAAACCAAAAGACTAATAAATGAAGGGTTTTTCCACAGCAGCCTATCCAATACTGCCTTTGAGAAGTAATAAGCTACATTAAAGTGCCACTCCCAGCAGGAAGTTACAGAACACTTGGAATAATCATATGGGTAAGAGGAGATTGCTTAAACAAACGAAAAAGCTTGGTTTTGTTATGGCAAGAACCACATAAAATCTGTACCTTTCTTATTAATGTTGGCCTCAGCTCTTTGGCCTTCCTGTTCATCCTCAGAGTCCAGAAACACACACCATCCCTGGACATCAGGGCATACAGCAGGAGACTGGATGACCTCTGTCAAAAAACACACAGCASTCAGATCAAAAGTAAGTTTCCTTGGCATGCACTCCTCCCAACAGAATTTACAACACAGCAAATCAATATATAGTTTCCAGATGTAGACTGCAACCAAATCCTCAGAAGGGGACTTTAAGAGGGTATCAATCTAAGAGTAGTTTGAATATTTTAAGCTATTATTTTAATAAACAGATTTTAGTAAGACTGCACACATTAAAATGAAAAATGCCATTCAACTATTTWAAAAAAATCTTCTCATTGGAAGTTCCTCCAAAAAACAGGTGCCTCTTCAAGTGCCTCAAATGTCCAGACATTAGCACATTCTTATTTTAATTTTTCTAATCCAGCACAGCTTTGGTTTTTAGTTTGTTGTAGGTTTTTCCTGTTCGTTTGAAAGAACATTCCCTTTTAGTATCAACCTTCTCCTACAAGGTAAAAATTTAAACATGTTTACTTACTCTTGGAACAAGCTGGTTTCTCTAGTTGAGTATCTTCAGAAGGCTGTGGTTCACTGTGAACAAGATAAAGCAGTTTCTTATAGTTTACACATCTTCACAAAGTACAAGCAGACAGTAAATAACAACAACCACCAAGTCAAGTTATCCTACACGAGCTGCAAGAAATTAAGAATACCTTTTTCCCCATACAGAAGATTTTCTGTTAGTTAGTGTTAACTAACTAGTTACCCCCAGAAATTTTCTCATTACCTGCAAAGAAAATCTATGCTACCTTTGCAAGGGAGGCTGTTTCTCTCCAAGTTCTGTTGCACTGGAGATAGCAACATCCTGCAGTCCCAAAGCTGGTGAAGACTCTCTTGTGTCTGCTGGCTGTAAGAACGAGAGTGTATTTTGGTTCTATGGGGATGGAATCACAAGCTATGTAAAAGGATTCCAAGAATACCATGATAGGTCGTAAAAGCCTTGATGTATTAATAAATGGCCAAAAGCACTTTTGTTCGCACTTAAACTAAGAACTCTCTCAAGTAAGTAAATTATTAAGCAAACAAATCTCCTACCACACACAGATTTTACTCTTTACAAGTATATAAAGATGTCATTTGGTACTTTTTGTTAACCAAGTAGCCACACAGTATTACATATATTAAAGATGTTCGTCAGCAGTTACCCAAACTTGCATTAAATTCAGAGCATATTCCATTTCCTCATTTAAAACATATCTATTACTAATAATGTTTTGGAAGGGGCAGAGAGGAAATATATTAGTTAGTCCAATCRATGCAGTTGGGAACAAGATCTAAATTATTTTTTACTTGTAATTTGCAAGTATACATATTTAGTATTTAATTAAAACTAGAACAATCTCTGCCCAAGACTATTCTGCACATAAAAAAAAACCTAACACACATTAAGTGTAGTATGTCTATAAATTTTGGAAGCAAGTATCAGACACTGCTTTGCCATCCTCTACTTGTTTCCTTGGCTTTAGTTTTCTGTCTTCTTTTTCATTGCCAACTTCTAGAAAAGGAAAGAGCTATTTACTCTTAAGCACTCAGCAGGCCTTTAGTAAATAATTTAGAAGTTTGTATCTTAACATAAATTTGTCTTACCCAATTCCTAAATWATTTCACATTGTTAAGATATACTACAGGTTTAAAGCTTTTGATTTTAGGCTCCTGCAGTGAAATTAGGTGCTGGGGAATTTTGTTTCAACTTCCATTTCCTGGGTGACACACCCAAAGTAGATGTACAACTGAATGAAGCATCCTTTCCAAGACGGGATGAAGTATTAGCCAAGAAACTTATTACATATTCTTTTAATAGTACTATCACTTAAAAGTAGTAGCTATTTGTAGGAGAACAGATAAACAAAGAGGTCAATACCTGTTCGTGTGGATCTTGCTGCCCGTTATTTTCCTTCAGGTTCTTCTCCAGTGCCTCAATTTTTCTTCTCATCTCTTCCTTCCTCTGTGCTATGGCTTGTATCTCCTCTAAAGAAGGAGCAGCTGGTAAGACACCATACATTTCACATGCAGGATGGAACTAAAGGCTAAATACACCATAAAGGAGGCCAAATTTCTGGTGTTCTTTCCCTGTTCCCTGGACTATAACATTAAGCTGGAAACGCTGTTGTTCTCTCCACACTCCAGAGGGGCTAAAATCACTATTCCAGTAAAACAGCAGCCACAGTAAGAAACTAGTATTACATCAATAAAAAATGGAGAATCTTATGATTTTATCCTAGGAAGCCTTTAGTCATCCCCCTTTGAGGCATACCTTCTATTTTCTTTTGTGCTCGCTTTCTGTAGATTTCAGCTCGAATCTCTTCCAAAGAGAATTCTTCCACCCCAGCATAAACTTTATCTTTGCAGTACATCACCATCTCTTGCTTTTTCTGAGTGTCCTGCTGATGGCTTTGCACTCGCTGTAGAGGATCCTCTTTTTCCGGTTTGCGAGCGCTTAAAACACTGTTTATGCTGGGCTCAATTTTGCAAGGAGTCCTAAAGAAACAAAATGTTAATGTTTGAGGCTTATGAACTTCATTGCCRAGGAAGAGCAAGTACTGATGAAAGAAGAGCTAGTTTCAAATTCTAACTGTGGAATAGAGTGAACAGAAATTGATTCATGGCTAACACAAAACAAGGAAGAAAAATGGAATTGTGTGTCAATGTATTTCTTGCTGAGCTACAATTTTGTAAACCAGGAAAAAACATGATAAGGCTCATCCAAAAGAAAACAAAATTCTCCTAACATTCCACATTTCTGTGCATCCTGGAGTGTGATTTATTTTTACTTTAGCTCCAGGGATCTGCGTGAGTGCACAGGCAAGAATTCCATAATCATCCACCGAGATAGAGTTCATCTTCAGAATGAGCAGACCTTAAAAATGAAATACCTCAAACAAGACTGGGCTTTGAATTTGATCCTGAAAAGAAGTTTAAGATGCAATAAAAGCAGAGGTTACTCAAGGAAAAGTGCATTGCATACTGAACAATGGAAATTAATTTCCCAGTTATCCTTAGCTCAGTAACTGAGGATTTCAATACCTCATCCCAAAGTATCTTTAACTGGTTTGGGCAATTGGTTAAATCACAACATTTAAAAAGTCTGTTAAGTTTCACCTTTACAAGGAGTAACAACCCTAAGATCAGTTCAGAGACAACGAGGTACAAAATGGACCTCAGATGTGTTTAAGCATCCCACACACATGCGATTTGGCAGAGTAGGAGGAAAGGGGTTAGTTAACCAGGTCACTAGGGGGTCCCTTCTACTCAACCCTCTGTTAAGGTGATTTTCAAGGACTTCACTGCTGCCTCATGAGGCAAGGGATTTAAAAGCAGAAAGAGATCTGCTTTTAAATTCTTTCCAGTACATAGCTGCAAATAGCCTAAAATAGCTTAAACAAAGATTTGTATGTTGTTTTATAGTGATTCAGCAAATTTGTGTTTAAAACATAATGCTCAATTTCCACTCATTCCTTTCTGCTGCCTTCTGTAAATAGTAAGTCTACATCTACGAGACCAGCAGATCAAGAAATCTTAATTCTATGGCATTACTGACTTCCAGGAACAAGAAATTGTTTCAGTTTAGACAATCTTGGCATTTTACTTGTTCTAAAACTACAGTATGCCTTCGGCCAGAGCTACTCTGCAGTCCTACAGCTCCCTCTCAGAATTCTCATTTTCATTATACATTCAAAAGGAAAAAAATATCAMGGAAGCAACCTGAGATATCAATATATTTCACATTAAAACTGTAACACCAAACATTCTTTTTCTCTATTAGAAAAAGATCCATGTTTACTGCAGCCATCATTAGCCACTAGAAAAAGCAAGGTACACAGCTTTTTGCAAATGATGCAGTTTTTCCTACTGTAACAAAATGGAGCTGGCCTTTCTCCTGGGATTTATCAGCATTTCAGTGAGCACTGTACAGAGAGGAGGATAGTATCAGGAAAACAGCACACTCCTCCCTAACCCAAGCAACACTGTTGTCATGGAAACTTAGATAGCTTGTTCCAGAATAAAACTCCATATACAGTCAGCACAGAGTTCCCAAGATAAAGGCTCCTGGCTGTTTTGCTCTATCAATTTGGACTGCTTTTACAGCAAGCAGTGTGCTAAGAAGTACCTGTGGTTTTGGGAAAATATACCAAATTAAAGCAGTAACCATTTAAATTATTTACTACGTGAAGACATGRTAGAGATCGCCATATATCAGGCACTGACAGCCAAATACTTTCCACGTCCCTAAGAATCCTCCTCTGAAGCCTCTGCACAGCTAATACCCTGATAATTCCCAAGCTGACTACACTTAAATCTTCGTACAGCTAGAGGTTTGACTGCTCAAAGGAGTTAGAACCTTATGAAGTAGCTTTGAAAATTTCAAATGCTCATGCCTGTTTCAAACTAAGGGGAAGACTCACATCACTTGTTGCAGAGCCGACTCCTCCACGTACGGGGTGAAGTTAGGCAATGTGCAGGGCACTTCCATGCCAGAATTAGCATTACTGCGGGGACGCTGAGGGAGGAAAAAGCCAGTGTTAGCAGCTTAAAGATTCACTTTTAAACTCTACATTTTTTTTCCTCTGAATTTCCATTCTCACAGTCCTTAGTTAGGCTAGGCTTTCTTATTTAAAAAGATATGACCTCCACAGACCTAGTTTCTTTGTTACTCTGAGGGAGTACTGGCAAAGCAGGGCATTCCAGTTGCTTCTCATTTACTTTCCAAAGAGACTACAATCCTATTTTTTTAATCCAAGATTGCCTAAAACCGTWAATATTAATCTCCCCTTTTACTTACAAAGAGCTTCCAGACTTCTCCATTTTCTTCTCAGCAGCACCCCACCACAAAAATCCCTTAAGATTAGCTGTCTTTGGAGTCGGTTATTAAAAAACGACTCCAGTGGAATTTAATCTGTCAACATTTTATTCTCATCTGCGTATCTAAAATTCCACAATGTTCTCTAGCTGGAAAACTTATGGGGGGGAATATTTTACAGATTGGTTTGCCTTTGTTATTATCATTCACACAATTGTATATTTAGCCATCTTCATGCTGTCAGCAGCACAGAAGCCTCTTTCCTTTGTGCAGCTTTATATCAGAAAGCATTTGTGAAAAGTTATTCTGTATAATAAGACATTCTGTGTAACAAGTGCCACTTGATGCTTTCCTCAATTCCCTTTCTTCCCTTTCACTCAACTCTTCTTTTATTTGCAGACTGGACTGAGGCAGGACAGAAAAAGAATACAGAAGTATTTGGGGACCAAAATGGACACATAGGTAGCCTGAGCACAACTGTGAACAGCAATCAAAAAGGGTTTCACGCTAATGATTTTTTCCCCTCCTCATTCTCCTTAACTAAATTAAGCCTGTAATTTCATGTAAAATGTTGYATTCACTTAATCAACTTGCATATCATTTGGCAGCAATTCTTCCCGGAGTTTCCACAAATTTTAGTCCTTTGTCCATCTCCTCCCAGTGCCTGTTTCCAAACATCAAGCTTCTACAGTGAAAAATGTCAAATATCTTTTATCTTCTGATTACTGCACATTTTTTCCTACCTTTCCCCAAAAGYGCAGGAAAACACTGAGGATTATCTAAGGACCTATAAACCAAACTTGATTTCATAGGCTTCAGTTTCTTTCAAACAACATCTTGGATCATTTCTCTACCAGAATTATATAAAATATCTTTAGCACAGCTTTTCATGCCTCCAGCATCAGGCTGAGCAGTTAGAACCTACTTCCTGACCTTGTTTTCACCTCCCTGCTTGCTGCCCTGTATTCCTAGGGCAGGTATTCCACTGACACAGGTGTTTTCAGTTCCTTTGATCTCCACTTTTCTGGACTACGATTTTTCTCCCATCAGCTCCACAAAAGAGATTTGCAGGATGCTTCCCATGCGTTGTTTTCCAAAGAAAGTGAATAATGAGTTTTCCCCTTGGGTTGTACCATGCAATAACAATCTAACTCTTGCTTTCATTGCTCATGAAGTCACTGATGTCAAATTTCTCTTCCTTTCTAGGAGAGATAAGCGTGTTTTTCCTCTTCTAGTACTTTCCTGTTCTCCAAACAGATTGGCAAGACACTCTACAGATCTTCCTGGATAGCAACAATTAACGTTTCTTGATTTACAGAACTGCAGAATTTTTTAGAAGTYTATGCTAGCAAGGTCAGCTTGTCTAACTTGACTAGGTTACCCATGGGCAGACTTCGGGAAGAAACTAGAAAGTTCTACAGTTATCAGTAAACACAAACTGTATTTACTGMGAGAGAAGCATGATCTTTTTCCTAGGGAATTAAGAGAAATCATGACAGCCACCTTCCTCTTTTCCAGCCCATCCTGAGATTCCTTACCCTGCCAGAGTTCCAAGGTCCTGCACTYAATTCATTCTCCTTGGCCTTTGGAGCTGGAAGTGCTGTCCATGACTGAGGGGTAAGTGCAGGAATACCAGGTCCAGAAGCTGAAGCTGAATTTTCATCAAACACAGCAAAACGTAGATTATTTGAAAGCTGTTGAGAAGCTGGATTCTGTAAACTTCTATTTTGGTTCGTGGCTATAAGCAAGGAAAATTACAAAAATTAACCTTTAAACCTACCATACTCACGTGGAAGTTTCACAAAAGTGTTGTTCTTCAAAGACCACGTGGCTTCACCAAATGAATTTACCTTTAAGTGCATCTCCCACACGACTAATTGGTGCTACTACATTTTTCTTCCCCCTGCCTTTTAGATCTGCCAGGGAGCTTCTCTGAGGTTCTGCAGTTCTCGGAAGATCAATGTCTTTTTCATCAGCAGCGTCCTCAAGCCCCAGTAGTGTCTGCCGAGAAACACGGGCCTGAAACTGCCTTCAAAAAAGATATTGGAAACATCAGATTGGAAACATCACCCTACTAGGTAGCCACTGAAGCACTTCAAAACACTCCAAGGGCCTCCCTTCAGGAGGAACCTCACCTGTGATGGGACTGGAGCTTGTCCATAGGCTCAGCCTTACGCTGAAGGCCTTCCTGGAATATTAAGTCTGCTTTCTTAAAGCTTCCTCTAGCCTCAAGTTCTTCTGCCCACGTGATATAAAGTTGTGCCAGCGTTGTGCCAATTTCCTGGCTATGTAGATAACTGTACAGATCCAAGGGCTCATTACAACAATTCCCCTGAAATAACCAAAGTATTTTTTTATAATTGCATCAAACTGCAAAAGGATTCCAAGTCAAAGCCTGCTTTATGATGGTCCTTTAGGACCCCTATTTAAATACAAGTCTTACAGGAACAGCTCTAGAGGCAGGATCAAATCAAAATTCCTAAGATAAAACAAGTGGGGATGAATGATAATGAGAAAATGCATTTGCCAGTATTATCACCACTCCCTAATTCCGGCATRCACATTTGAGTTCAGTCATTTCTTAGAACTTTCATCCAAGAAAATTCAAGTATGGCATTTTAATATTTGCAGGAATAGTTGTTTTATCCTTAGATAAGTGCAATGTATTCTAAGCAATGGGGAAACTAGTAAATTGGCACAGAGAGCTAAACCTAGAGAAAAGTGACTCTTAAAAAAAGAACAATGAAATAAAAACATAGTAAAACAGACATGCAAGAGCAGAACAATCTTGATTTTTGCCATTTGCAATAAACTTTGCAAGAGAAAGCTTAAGTTTATAGCTGTCCAAACTGAATGAACCTGAAAAACACTCAAAGATTCTCTTAAAGTAGCAAAATTGAAGAGTAGGTAACACGTATGCAGAAATACATCTAATATTGAACTAGTGGCAAAGCATATTCTTTGACTCTCATTGTTAAAAAAAATCAGGTTAGCTATGTGCAAATGATATTCAAAAGTATCAAGAAATAGCAGGACTCAAGAAATATTCACAGAACACTTACAAACTTGAGCCAGAGGTTAAGATAGCGGGGATCTTTGTAATATCTCTGCTGTTCATTGAGGGCTTTCACAGCCCTTTCCAATACTGCTGAGAGATTACTCTCCTTTCCACCCTGGGGGAACGTTTGCTCTGTCCACTTAATGTACCTAGAGAAGGAATATAAGCATAGAAAGTCAGTTCTGGATAAGATATACAGTCTCTGCTTCTGTAGGTTAGAGAGGGACAAACCAAGAAACAGGCATTTTTTCTGCCGCTCACCCTCCARATTTGTTATAAAGTTCCTCTTTACAGGGTATAGTCTTAAATTAAGAACATTTTCTCCATTTTTTTTTTTTTAGAGAATCTAAACAATTGGTGGTATAGATCTGACTTTTCCATTTGTCCTTTTAAAATATGAGAGATCTTACCGGTCCCAGACATCCAGGGGATCATCTCCAGAGTAAAAACGGATTTCTGATTCAAATTCTCTAGAAAAGACATTATCCAATCACTACAGATATTTGGAAAATTATCAAAGCGTCTCCGGCTGCATAAGCTAAGACCTGCCCCTCTTACTCATACTATATTGTGGGTCCACACCATGATAACAGGTTATAATCTATGGCTATGACCTTATTCCATGACTCAAAGCATTAAGAAAACAAACAAACATCTGGACTCTTTGTCAGAAAGAGATAGGGAAACTACTTAAAATATACAAGAACAGACACTGGCACAAACTTTTCAAAACATACTTCAAAGCATTTATATTCCAAAGCTTTATGATCTCCCTTGACAGAATGTTTGTCTTCTTTTGAACAGTTAGTAGCAAATGCAAAGTTTGCAAAGAAAATAATCTTAAATATATGTAAWATGCAGCTAGTATAGGCATTAGTTAAAAAAGCTTTGCTCTTCTCCTTCATTCTGCTCATGAGATTACTAAAGATAAAGGAAAATTTATGAAAAAGCAGAAAGGGGAAAAGAAGACATCCAAACATTGCTCACTGTTTTTTGAGTTGAGCAGCAGTGTGGACGGAGGTCTCCTGCTGAGCCAGGGCTTCCTGCAAGGTGGACATGACACGGCCCTGCCTGAGGGGCTGCACATTTTCTTTGCTCAGCTCCCACTCATCGTTCCATGCCTGTGACATGACAAGCTCTCCTTTAGGCTCTGCGTTAATGAAAAAAAAAAAAAAAAAGATATCCATACACAATTGAGGAGGTAGGACTCCCTGCGACCAGGTGGCACGAGGGGGGACGCAGGACGGATGGAGAAGGGGCTGTTCACTGCACGACTCCGGAGCGGCTTTCAGCAAAGCGTCCGCGACTCCCACGGCCGAGCATGGCAGCCTCTCCCCAACGTAACCCCCTTCGCCCTCTCCTCCGCGACGGGACGAGGCGCCCCACACCCTCCCGAGAGCGACCGGAGCCAGAGGGAAGAGCCAGGCGGCCTCCACCCCGCAAAACCCGCGGCCTCACCGCCCTGCCCAGCACTCACACAGCGCAGCACCCACGGAAAAGGCGCCAGCCGCCTAACAGCCGCACGCCAAGCCGCCTTCGAAATTCAAACTCCAACCGCCGCCGGCTCCTTCCCCATTGGCCAACGCTTTCGGCGCCCTCCTCGMTGATTGGCTGCGCCGCGGGCGGACGGTACCGGAGCGGTGCCTCATGGGATATGTAGTTTGGTGCAGGCGGCCCACACTCCTGGGGGGCCGCGTCTTCCGCCCTCCATTTGCGCTCTCCTTATGGCACCCAGAAGGGAGGCACGATAAACTAATAAATAAGGGAAACTAAATGAGACGTTTTATGCTGTCGTGGGAGTGAACAGCCTGCTGGTGCTCTTAGGACAACAATACAGATATCCAGGTACATTCAGAGCCATAACCCACCTCRTGGCTCCTCCTGTGAGGAGCCTGTGAGGAAACATGCAGAATACAACACATAACATGATCTCTCGAGCTCTTCTGTTGCCCCTAAAAGTATATATTTTGACACAACATTCTGTCATGTTATGTATGACATGTATAACAACACTAGCCTAACTTAGCTATCATAACTGTTCCCCAAGCTTGACTACATTATCCAAGTAGTTTGAAGAGGAAAATGTAACATTCGAAAACAGAGCACGCGGGAAGATGATAAGATGTGTTGGGATAAAACACGTTTAGACTGAAATGCTTCAGCTGTCCTGTGGAAATGTTAGTGCATATATCTGAATTCCAGTCCTTGCACCTACATTTCTCTGCTGAAATTTCATACAATGAGCATCCCAATATGTTGAGCCACAAATCAAGAGAAAGAGACACTGGAGGGGAGGCTTTAGAAAGAGCCAAACTTTATGTCTCACATACATGAAGAGAACAGTCAGTTTAGGCAAATCTACATTTCCACTTCCAAGAGAAATGAAAAATAAAGGAAAAGGCTTCAAAAATAGACGACAACAGATCTCTGCTCTTCTTTTCACTCTGCTTCAGCCATTGCTTTTGCTGCCTATAAAAGACATCAGCTTCTGACCTGTACCCTCTGTTAGAAGCAAAAGATAGGATTGCGTTTTCCAAAACACAATTTCTATCTAAATATTAAGGCTTGGTCACTGCTCTCCCCAGCTCATTTCTATGGACTCCATTTTCACAACTAACCCAAGGATTTTCCCTCTCGATTTTTCATATCCCCTACCTGTGCCTGCTGATTTTGATTAATGTTTAGTTTGCCCTGGCAGGCAAGGAGGGAAATTGCTTCTTATCCCATGGCAAGGAAATGGCCACCTCTTTGGTGTGTGTTGTTCCAGAAGAGGGTGCTCAACACTCAGAAATGAGGTGAGCACCAGATGCCTTGGCAGCTGTGTAAATCATTTCTGCCAGCATTTCCGCCCTTTCAGCCCCTTCTATGGATATAGAGAGGGGCAACCATCTTCAGATGCAAAGTCCATGACTAGATTTGGCCTCGTATAGATCAGCATAGCTGATATGAAACGAGTATCATTCTAAGCTGGCATCAAAAATAAAAAGCAGAGCTCCACTGTGGATGAGCAGAGCTGAACTTTCAAATGTTTTCGAGAGCCTTTGGAGCATAAGAAAGTGATTTTAAAGATGCTTATCCACTCATCTCCCACCAAAAACAAACAAACAAACAAAAACACTTCTCTTTATAGGCGCTTGGTTCTGGCTTTATTTTTCTCTGGAATGTAAGAGTTTGAGAGGGGAACATTGAGCAGATGGGACTGTAGAGGCTGCCAACAGGAGCTCATATGTCCAGGTGCCAGCAAGGGCACCTGGGAAGACTTGGGGGTTTGGGGGACATATGGGGATCTGGGAACACTGAATTTAAAAGCCCTGCTACTGGAGGGACCCCTTTTACTAATGTATATTCAAGGATGTCCCCATGATTGCTTTTTCTGCCCCAAACTCCTCTGATGACAGCACAGCGCAGCACGTACCTGCAGCAACCCTGTGGGCTCCCCTAAGAAATTCCCTTGCACGGACCCCAGCCAAGGATCCCTTGGGAAATACAGAGATTGGGGGAAGATGGGGAAGGGGTGCTGGAAAGTAAGGACCTGGGTGGGTCAAGGAGCACATTCCCCTGCTTGGTCTTTSTGTGCCTAGGTTTGCCCTGCTTCCAGCAAGGTGCTTTCTGCTCCAGCTCTCCATGGAGGTGGCTCCAAGGGAGTTGGGTGTGTGAGTCCCTTTGCTACTGTGGTCATATCATGCTCGGTGATGGCTGACAGGGCAAAATTCACTGTGCTGCTATAGAGACCAGACCTGCCCGCGCACATCCAGGCGCGCCAGGCCCGCTCTGTGCCTGCCTCGTGCCCCTTGCTCTCTGTAAACACATCCGTCTGTGTCAGCCTCTCTCCCAGAAGGGTTTTTCCTGGTTCAGTAAAGGCAGGAGGGAGCTGGCAGTCAGCAGTCCAGCTCCCCAATGCGCCTATCAAGTTGTTTGACCTTAAAAAGTTCTCCTTAGGCTCCTTAATAACAAACAGAGGTGAAAACTGCGAGCTGCAACCCACTTAGCAGAGCTGAGGATGAAAATAAATGGGTTATGATAAATACTGGTCTGTGTTGGGGAAAAACGGGGTCAAAGAGGCTGGCGAGCATCAGGTTGCTTTTAYATGTCCTTTGCTCCTCTGTCATTTCCAGGCTCTCTCCACACTCTTATGAGCTAGAAAAACACCGTGATCTATCTGTTCCGTTTGCTCCCTGATGGGGAGGGCTTGCTGTTGCATGAGGGTAACATCTGCTTCTCAGCTTGGTTTTCTCGTTTGCTTCAACAGAGGTTAACCTTTGTTCCACGCAAGGTCCAAGTTCTAAGCTCCGTCCAGTGTGGAYGTGGGGCACAATCCTGGCCAGAATGATTCCTTAGAGCAGGGCCTAGCACATAGTGCTGTCACCACTGCCCCTTCTTGGGGCACAAGAACTGGAGGAAAGGTCTAGAGGGAGTCTGGAAAGAAGCCCTCCAGTTTGACCACTGATGATCCACCTTCGGGTAGCACCAGCCTGGAGAGCAGACTTGGGACCTCCAGTGATGGCTGAAGACGTAGGGTCCAGCCCTTAGTGGGGTGTTTGCACAGTCCTGTGGCAAACATCTGCTAGGGATCATCCTGAGCTACCAGAGGAACRGTGCTTACACAGCAAACACAGGGCTCACTCCCCACCCTCTACTATCAGACAAATTGCGCCTGTAGTTACTGGGAAAATAGCTTTATTGCAGTGGTGAGGGCAGCGTGCCACATCTTAACCATCTCCAYATGAGGAAGAACTTCTTTACTGTGAGGGTGACAGAGCACTGAAACAGGCTGCCCAGGGAGGCTGGGGARTCTTCTCTGGAGGTCTTCAAAACCCGCCTGGATGCCATCCTTTGCCCCGTGATCTGGGTGTCCCTGCTATAGCAGGGGGGTTGGAATAGATGATCTCTAGAGGTCCCTTCCAACCTCAACCATTCTGTGATTCTGTGATTCTGTGATCTCAGGCTCTACCGCCAGCAAAAGTGCAGCTTCTGAAGTCCACACAGCTCTMCCCAGAGCCAGGACAGCAGAGCTCGGTTCTAGGGACAGCAGGAAGGAGAGATCTACAGAAATAAAATAGAGGCTGGGAGAATCTAAGGCGTCTTTGGAAGTGGTTGCCCTGTGATTTGATCTATGTGTGGCCTCTACTAACCTTATTTTGGTTTCACTTTCTCAAGGGTTTATCAGGAGCGGCCTCAAGCAATGTGGGGCTTGGCTTCTGGACCCAGGGCAGTTTTGTTTATCACTGTTGCTTCTGTAGCAGGAGACTCAGCTTGCTGCAGGCCTGTGCTGCGGTGTTAGGCTGAGCAGATGAGATAAAGACCACTGAGATAGGCTCCTTCTGATGCGTCCTTGTCTTGGGCACTTCTGGATGTTCTTATTGAAAACTGGGCATTCAGCAGCTCTTGTCAGCACTGTAGGTAGCCCCAAAATGGGAAAAACAGAATCAGCACAAATTCTGTGCTGATAGATCATCGAATGCARGTGGACATAGCCCTATTCTTGGCCAAATGAAAGTCAGTCCAGCTTTTGGTTGCCCATGGTGAGAAATGGGTTGGCAAGAGATGTAATTGTGGACTAGAGCATCACTGCTTCATTCTCCATGTGTGCCCACATTGCTGCCTTGGGGCTTCATGGAGGGGACCATAAAACTGAAGACAGGATTGCTGCAGGATTGGGGAGGAAGGGTCAGACAAGCCACGGTGCTGTCATCCTCCAAAGTCAATCCAAAGGCCAGGAGGCTTCCTCCTAACTCAATTCCAGGGCAAGGCAAGTGCAGCAGAACCTGCCTGCTGTTAGTGAGCCACCTCGGCTTCCCACCTCCATTCACCTCTAGGTGCAACTCGTCACGAGTGGAGCAAGGTGCAAATGCAAAGGTGTTGGTGCCCACATCGAGGGCAAAGAAATGGTAATGACACCCAGCACCTGGAGGGAATGCTGGCCTCCATCTTCAGTGGCAATGAGAAAAGCACTGCTGAGAGCAGAGCCCAGCTCTGAAGGAGCTCCCAGGTTCAGTCCTACAAGCAATGGTAGGGTTGGGGTGACTTGTGCTGCCTGCAGCAATGCCCTAAAGGGAACAGCTGAATGGTCAATGCTGGCTAATTCATCCACCAAGAAGAGATGGATACTGGCTTGCCGTGAACAAACTGCAACTAGGAGCTTAGCTACGTCCCACTGCACCTGCAGCCAGTTTAGGAAACACAATTGAAAGGAGTCCCACATGGCAATAGGCAGGAGGGTAAAGAGACGAGAGGTGCGTCCCCCCAACCCCAGCAGTCCTAAGGGAGATTTCAAGGTATCACTAGAAGTTTGAATTAGCTGTAATATCTTCTGGCTTTAATCTCTGTACTCAGAAGGCAGGGCAGGCACCAAGAGCCTCTTGCAGACCAGTTTTTCTCCTGAGTAGGCTCCACCTTCGCAAAGGGGCTGAGATTACCCCGTGCTTTTTCTGGGTCTGTGGACTTATTTCCATTATAAAATGTGGCTGTCATCTTCTGTTGATATATCCTTGTCAGGCATGCTGACTTTCACTTCCACATCTTGGTGGGGTTGGCTCTCCAGAGCAAAGGACACCCCCGGCCTTCCAGTGTGACCATTCTCATTAAAGTCTTTTTCCTCCTCATTTTCCTCCAGGTCTTCATCACTGTCCTCATCATCAGCTTCTATATTGTCCTCAATCACTTTAACTCCATCTCCAGCATCTGGATCTACATCAGTCTTAAACCACACAGCTTTATAGCCATTGTCCTCCTGGCGCCTCTCTGTTTTGAGGATAGACTTCACTTCTTTCTCATGGTCGCTCTCTTCCACTTCCACTTCCTCTTCCTCCTCCTTCTCCTTCTCCTCCTTGTCAAAGATGATGGTGGAAGCCATAGAAGCCATTGGGAGGTCATTGATTTCTCTTGCCTTGGAAGAAGTTGAGGGAAGTGATGGCTGCTCTAGCACAGACGTCGTTGACCGGACACTGCCATTTTCTGCTGTCTCATGTTGTTTGGCAGTCACATCTGGATATTCGTCTTCCTTGTAAGCTTGGTTCTGGTGACCACCCGAGAAGGTTTTGGAGAACTGCATGGGGAGAGACACTTTATGATTATAGTGAAAAGAACAGAATGGTGCTTTCCACCAGAGAGGTCAGCACTAACTGCTTGAGGTGCAGATGGGCACTGGAAGGAAGCCAGTCCCTGGGAGACAAGGGACCCCCATAAGAAGTTTTTTCCCACAGGCACAGACATGTTTTCCATTAGGGCAGAGCACCAACAACGTTCATTAATTCCTACCAATTCATTTTAAGAACCTTTGCCAGTGGAGTCTAGGCCCTGTAGAGTCCTATCCTAACAAAGAGGCAAATATCTGGTCAGATAAATAACTGGAGCACCATGGACACCAGCAAGCCAAGGCCAAATAGCTCAGGTGGACACACAGAATCACAGAATGGTTGAGGTTGGAAGGGGCCTCTAGAGACCATCTGTTCAAGCAGGGGCATCTAGAGCATGTGGCACAGGGTGGCATCCAGGTGAGTTTTGGAGACCTCCAGAGAAGGAGACTCCACAACCTCCCTGGGCAGCCTCTTCCAGGGCTCTGTCACCCTCACAGGAAAGAAGCTCTTCCTCACATGGAGATGGGACACAAGTACATCATACATTCATCAAGTTAGATGAGATAAAGGCCCTTATAGGTACAAAACCTAGTTGTCCAAATCCGGGCTTTAAAATAGGATATGAAGTGTCCTTTCTCTCCATTGTCTGTAGAGAGGGGTTGAACAGTGGTTTATAGCATAGACACCTGGTTCTAAAGTACCTCTGCTACCTGTCTCGTATGCCTTAAATTTTGTGCTCCGTCGAGGCTAAGTGAGGTAAGGTCCTCCTTACCATGTCATCTCTTGCATGGCTCCAGCACCAGAGGACAGGAGAAAACAGTGGCAAACACCATTATGTTGATGTTGCCTTTGCCAGCCCGGCTCAGGTGTGATTTGTCACCTTTGCACAAATGTGCATAGCGTTTGGAGAGCCCATCCATGCGCTAACCCTCCTCAGGCCCCACTTCTTACCTCTAAGAAAGTCTTAAAGAGAGATAGCCATGGGAAAAGCACTTTTTTTTTTCTTACCAGGTATTTGACTGGTTTTCTGTACTGCTTGTATATCATCAACCCAAGGAAGACCAAGGCTATTAATAGCAGTGCTGCCAAGGTGCCACCTAAGGCACCCATATCCTGTGCAGTGTATTTCTTATCAGAGGAAGGTTCAGCTGCAAGAAAAGTAGATGTGTGTTATCAAGTCTAAAGCCGCCAGGTAGCATTTTAACAAAATTCTTCATTGGTAGAGGAAGCACCAACCCGTTTCCAAAGGGCAAATAATTGTAGCARAGTATGACAGGAACAAGTGCATGACTGCACGTATGCCTGTGCAAATACAAAGCTTCCTTAAGCTTCGCCTTTGAGACTGCTGGTGGGATTCAAACAGGGAAAGAAACTGGAAAAGCGGAGGGCTCCTTGAGAGGGGAGGAACTGGCATGGGTGTCCGTGTGAAGAGCCAAGGCAGGTCTGGCTTCCTAATGGAAGAGGGTGTGGTAATAAATCTATGTTATGCTGATAAAGGTAATAGCAGTGATCCTTAGGGCCAAACAGCTGCAGAATGCAAACGAAAAGGGCGGTGGCTTGAGCGTGCCCATCAGAAGGGTTTGTCTGGTTATTTTTGCAGGATTTTTGTAATTTCTTTCTCAAGACTGATTCCTGCTCCCTTAGGCTGCCAGGCTCTTTCAGAGAAAGTGCCTTTGCTTCCCAGTCAGAAGCAGAGTTCCCCAGGAGTTGTATTTATTCCAGCAGGATCAGGTAGAGCAGCTCCAACAGGAGTGACTGATGGGCTACAACATCCAGAGCACTAGAAAAACCCTCTCCTGACTTTTTTTTTTTTTTTTTTTTTTAAGCAGTATATACAAAATATCTGTACACACATCAGCACTATAACTGAGAGGCTGTAACTTCCTCAGGATTAATCAGCTTCCCTTGCTGCTGTGAGTGGCATTCTTTAAGCATTTCAGCTTCGTTTCATGCTGGGAATTCCTCTTGGTAAAGTTTAATGATAAATGAAGCAAAGTTTCATCCTCCCACTGACCTAGCTATAACGCTGGACTTTGAGTATTCCCTCCGCATTTGACTGCTCCCTTGGCTTATCATTAATATATCGGTGAGGGATTGGAGCATCTGCATTTTCCCTTCTTAATCGTGTCTCATTAGGGAGTCACAGCCCTCCGCACTACATGAGGCCTCAACTTGGGGACAGGCTCATGTGGTGGTTGGGTTGGGCTGGCTCTGGTACCCAGATCCCAGGAGCCAATGGACACATCCTACTTCACAGGAGGCGATTATTTAAAAAAATTAAAAAATAAATAAAAAAAAGCACCCAACAACTCTCTAGATATTAAGATGCTCAATAAAGCGCCCTCCAGCACATTGCATGCACACTCCTTAGCACGAAATACCACATCACCCCTCCAGCTATTAGAGTAGTCCTCCTTGGCATGATAACATGCTCTATCTTTTGGTGCACAAAACACAACTTTAAGTAATCCCAGGCTTAGATTTGGGTTAAAAAGCAAGGATGCTACAATGCATGGCCTTATTTAAAGTCTAGGGAGGCTGTTTGGGGCATGTGAGGATCATATCATAGAATCATAGAATCCTTAAGGTTGGAAGGGACCTTTAGAGATCATCTAGTCCAACTCCCCTGCACATGCAGGGTCCCCCAGAGCGCATGGCACAGGGCTGCATCCAAGTGGGTTTGGAAGATCTCCAGGGAAGGAGACTCCACAACCTCCCTGGGCAGCCTGTGCCAGTGCTCTGTAACCCTCACTGTCAAGAATTTTTTCCTTAAGTTCCTGTAGAACTTTTGGTGCTTCAGTTTGTGGCCGTTTCCTCTAGTTCAATCAGTGGCCACCACTGAAAAGAGGATATCATAAGGATGTCCTTTGAGTGGTCAGTCTGTTCTAGGCATCCTGGGGATTTCCTGTAGGCCTGGGGCTGCTCACAGACTGCCATGGGTGACCTGTCACCGCCAGCTTTCCTGCAGAAAGGGGAAAGACGCCCCTTCCATGTAGGGAAGAGAGGGCAAAGGTGCTCAGCCTACCTGTGGCAGGGAGGATCTCCACCATGATCACAGTGCTTGCCTCCTGCAGGCTCACCATGTCTTTTCCCAGAGCCTGTATGAACATGGGAATGAGACAGCTTAGGGACTCCCTAGATCTCCAGTTCCAAGTTGCCCAATACACCTATTCCCAGGAACATAACACCAAGGACAAGGCACCCTCAGCTTAATATGGCATGAGTCCCTTTGAGATAGTCAGTCCTGAATTTCTGCCTTCTCAAATAGGGCAGGCCCCTGTCCCCTTGAACCTTCCCCAAAATATCCTGAGCTGCCCCTGCTCTGCCCTGTGAAATATGCCATGTCTCTTAGACAGTGTGAGTGCCAAAAAAAAATCCAATAGGTTTCCTTTTTTCAGTGGAAATTTGGGTGTGTAAATTAGATTTATATTTTCTGGATTTTTTTCAGATTCAATTTGGGAAGAGAGGTTCCTAAAATCTCCCCAGATGCCTTTTGGCTTATCTCCAAAGATATTTTCCACAAGAGGAGAAGACAAACAATTTTACACTTAACACCAAACAATAGCCCTTGTCATAGAGGATAATTTTACTATCGCTTCATCTCCCTCCAACCCTATGCATTTATGATGCAAATGACTGGAGCGAAGCCTGTCTCTTCATTGTGTCCCTGAGCTAATGTGACTCCACCCTTGATGTTTTCCAGCACAAACTCCAACTTCCTCCCACCGCCCTGATGAGGTTCTGAGGAAGGTTCTCCTACCTCCATGGTCACAGTCCCTGGTGACTCCAGCATCACGTTTGTAAGGATGAGCCCACCTTTGGTTGCGAGGAAATCCGTGCTGTTTTTAATGAGATATTCGATGTTCGGGTTGACTTTCTGAAAAGCCAAGCGAGTRAACCAGTAAACCACACTGGGCTCCTTGTAGTAGCCCATTGGCTGGGCCTGTGTGAATAGGTCTGGAGTAYATATAGAAGTGCATAATGCAATAAATAAATCTGAATGGGGGAGGCAGGAAAGGYTGAACTCAGATGTGTTCCCCTTGTTGCTCAGTGTTCAAAATGTATCCTAAAAGTGCTGCCTGCAAAGAAATCCCAAGCCTTATCCAGCTTGCCTTGGGTCTTCAATGTTTGCCCCAGCAAAAGGCATCTATGCAAGGGATTAGGCAAATTTCTTCAGTCTGCCTTTAATACAGTGCCAAAGTGAGGGGTATGTGGAGAATAATCCTTGTGCTCAGGGCTGGAGTGTAACAAAGAGTGAAAGAAAAAAGCCATAGGGCAAATCAGTGAATTTCTTCTGCTTTCCTCTTCCCAGCTGAGTCCAGCACTGTCTCCAAGCTACACCTTGTCCTTAACCCGTATATTGCCCACGGGGAATATAAGAAGGTATACAAGAGGAAAGCATCTATCTGCCTCCCCTGTCCCCGCACCTCGCATTCCTCATGTTTCCCCAGTCTGCTTTCWCCTTGGAGTTGGGGGGGAAGGATTCAAGACATTTTCGGTTCCTTACATCAGTGAAATCATCATCAGCGGCTGCAATCATCAGGGGTTTGGAAGGAACATCAGCATCTAGCACCAAGCTCCCTGGAGCCAGCCCAACAGACACCGTCCCTCTGTAGAYACTGCTCTTGAAGTACGGCGCGTGGTCACTTTTATTGATGACCTTAATCTCTACAGAGACTACAGAGTATTTCTGTATGTTGTTGACTTGGGAGGCCTGGAGAGAAAGAAAATGATGARAGGGATACTACTCTTTTTCCTGTTAGGGATGGGACATTAAAGGATAGGCTTCACCCGAAGCCCATTGCAACCTATGTGGTTCTTCCCTACAACAATCATCCTCATTGGGGGTTTTGGTCAGGTCGGTCAGAGTTCAATGTTCAGTTAGAGTTGAGTCCAAATGCTGTGGAGTGTATATGTGTGAGGAATGCTTTTCAACTCCCTATTTGCTCTTGAACTGAAAGACAAGCTCCAGCGGTGCTTACAGAAAGCCTTTCAGATGTGCTCCTTAATACTTTCAACCCAACAGGGAGTCCTTTTTGGGTTAACCCRATTTAATGATGTAGCCCACATGTAAGTGAAAATACCTCCTGACACCTGCAGGAGCTCTGCATGTGAATCAGTGTAAGACACCAGCCAAATACAGGATCCTTCCAAAAGAAAGGGTACAACCAAGTTAGTCTTAATTGCTAATGTAGTTGACTCCTGTCACACCAAAACTGCTCTTTCCTAGAAAAGCAGCTCTGCTGGCTTGTATGTTGTGTCATCAGACTTACCATGACCTGCAGTAGGAATGTCTCTGGGGAAGTTGCAGCTTTGTTCATAGTTAGATTCCCTGTATCTGCATCTATTGAGAACACTTTATTTGTATCCCCTAAAGAAAACAGAAAGACTATTTAAGCATGGAATGCCTTGATATGAGTTCACACACAGAACCGTCTTTCCTGTGTCGAATATACATTGAAATATGTATGCAGTATTTGATTACCTTCCTCATTTTGAGATCCTACAGGCTGCATTTAGACAAGGACCCTCAGTCAGAGGTTCTCTGTTAACTATCATTAACTAAACCCCAAATAGTTGTGGTTTTGAAGGAAGAGAAAGGAAGGAAGAGAAAGGAAGGAAGAGAAAGGAAGGAAGAGAAAGGAAGGAAGAGAAAGGAAGGAAGAGAAAGGAAGAGAAAAAAAGTTCTTTGAATGAAATAAATGGCCCAGTCAATGACTGTCAATCAGTTGATTATATTCAGATTTTTTGAAATCAAGGCTAAAAGAGAGTGGATCAGACAGTCACACTGTGCAGGAGAATAAGAATATAATTCATGGCAATGAATGACAATTATTCTGATGGTGCGTAGAATTTTTGGTTCACCTCAAAACTAAATGAAAGCAGCTGTCTGGCAAATGCTTGTTTAAAGCTTAAAGATGAAATATATCTCAAGAAGGAATAAGGTCCCTTTTCAACAGTGTTTATGGTCCTCAGCCTCTGGGAATATAATTCTCTTTTCTTCCTTCCTGTAAAGTCTGTCTTTTCTAATGAATCCATATCTTTTCTGTGGATCTAATTAACAAATACCCTACCCTTTGAATGAACTGCTGCTGAGACTACCTCCTTTCAGCAGCAACTGCAAGGGATATCGAAGCAACACAGGCTGGGAAAGGGGACCACTTCTACTCACCCCCAACAATGCTGTACACTATTTTCTCATTTAAAGTGTAGTCAGGATCAATAGCGTAAATGGGCCCAGGCTCCAGGGTGAGCGGTATAGTCTGCAATCACAAGGCCAGCCATTAACTACAACCCCAGACCACCAAATGCTGCCATTTCTTTCCCGGCACTGTCCTCCCCGTTAGGAGGAGGTCCTCCCTCTGCTGCAGGATCAAGGACAAATAGTGCTGCTCTGAGTCATCCTCATGCTTTTACAATCAGAGATCAGCGCTAGCTCAGCAGAAAGAGGAGAGTCCAAGATGTTATTTGATCCCTCCCACTTACCGACTGTTCGGAGATGTTGACCCGACCAGTGTAGGGGCTGCTGATGCAAATGTTATTGCCCGGGTTAATGAAGGTGCAGGGTAGGAACCAGGGGGGTTTAGTGTCGGCTTGTTCGATGAATACGCTGATGGTTGCAGTAGCAGTGTGTGTGGTGTCGGTGCTGTTCACTGGCCTGTCCTGTTCCCCAGAGCATAAAAAAAAGGACTCATTTGACCCAAATTTTATTGCAAGAAATGGAACCTGTCTGCAAAAAGCCCAGGTCTCTAAGTCAATCCTCCCTAAAGCTGAACAGTTTTCATGAAATTAGCTAAAGCAATGAGTTGTCTCTGCCAACAGAAATAGATCAAGCACAAGACTGGGCACAGTGATGGAATGATTCAGAGAGGAGGAAGGACTTACCTGCCCCCCCAGCATCCACCCTCTCTCCTGCCACCCCAGCAATCTGTCCCTTGGACTTACCCTCAGGCTAAGAGCATTTGTGGCTCCTGAGATACTTACCCTTGCATACAAAAGCAATGTCGTGAATTTGAATTTCTCATAGTCCAGTGCTTTTTGCAAATAAATTTCAGGGTTATTAACTCCTTTTATGGCAAAGTAACCACCTGTGTCCTGGAGATGGGGGAAAAAACATCAGAAAAGCCCCGCTTTTTCAGTCTAGGCTGGCATGAGTTTAACTGTGCACATTGAATTTCCCACTTTATCAGGCAAATCCCTCAAGATTTAGCTAACATAAGATCTAACTGAGATAACTGCAATAACATCTAACCGAGATAACCTGAGCACTAAACTGGGACCTGGGGGTGATGGGGGTCTGGCTTTGGCACAGACTTTTTGTGCCATTTTGGACAAATGACGTTATCTCTACTGTGTCTGGACACTGCTGGCAAGCAGGAGGATAACCCKTTCTTTCCCCACCCAACTCAGTGCAATCCCAAGCTCCACTGGGTGCAAAGGCAACCCGCTCAAGGATCGTCCCAACAGGACTTCCTCAGATCATATGACTTTCGATATCCCTAAGAGTATAACAACAGCGTCATAAAAGCATGAGCGGCGGAAGAAATCAATAATTGCAACGTTGGCTGCTCTCTTTTGTCGCCAGACCCAATGCTTGGGCTTTGCTCTACCATTCCGGAAAAGCCACGCTTCTTCCCCAAGCTGCTGGCAACCACACAGTGACTTCTGCCTCATTCTGAAGCTTGTCTGGCTTAAACACAAAGCCTGCTCCTGAGCTACCTGCTTTTTTTTTCCCCAAGGAGCACAAATATACTCACAGGCACTTCYGTCCTAAGTTCGTAATAAATGGTGTCCAAGTCAGCATCAGTAGCGCTTAGATCTTCGCGGGGTATAACTGTGGTGTTCACTTTYGTGTCCTGAAACACAAAGTTCCCTCTGGGAAATGGGCTGAAGACTTTCCCCTGACATCTCCTCCCTTGGCCCACAGCAGTGGGCAACCTGGCACCCTTCTCACATCTGTGAAATGCCCACCTCGGGAATGCTTTTGGTGAGATTTGTCTGCTTGAAAACCGGGCTGTTATCGTTCATGTTGATGATGGTCACGATAATTTCCAGAGAGTTGCTCTGAGGAGAGGGCAAAGGCAGAAAAATCACAAACCGGGGCCACGAGAGGCTGAGTCTGACATGAACGGAGGTGCAGATGGGAAATGAGAGAGGGACGTGAGGAGCAGAGCTGCATAGGGCTGCACGGGGGCTGCTTCGTGGTCAGTCCACTGCAGTGGGGGCCTTTGGTGGGTTTACTCTCACCTCTTCCCCATCCCAGCCCCTCGGTTCAGCTGTGAGAGGAGCCATGCCTACAAAGATACATGTCTGCAAAGAGGGGGCAGTGGCTGAGAAGAAGCAAGGAGAGGCGTGTGCTCCTCTGCAGCACCTTTTCACAGGGCAGCACATTTATAAGAGCACTCACCTGCCCRGCAGCATTGGTGCAAAGCAAGTAGACTAGCAGTAAGGTGTCCTCCTGCATGCAAAAACAGAAACCTGGCTGTTTTCGAAATAAGCCTAAAYGCACAGGCACTTTTGCTGGTTCGTGAAGCAAAAAGGGAACCACTCATTGCTAAAAGGGAATCACTACCAGGGGCTCTAGCTTATTTTCAAGCATCTCCCTTTCTTTCGCTTTCCTTTGCAGACATTTAGCMGTGCTGGGATTTCATTTTCAACAGAGACAGCATAGAGTGATACCCCAGCTTCYCTCCTTGTGATTCCCAGAAGACAGGGCAAAAACCCACTGACTSTTTCCTCCCAGTTTAGGCAAGTTCAAACAGGGATTTCATTTGGAATTGAATGGGACACAGGTGTGCYATGTAGCAAGCAGGGTCACCTGTGGAGCTCATGTCTGCTATTCCTTGCTTAAATGGACTTTACATTAGAGGTAAGGCAGTGTAAGGAGATGCTTCACTGTGCACAGAGCTCTCCATGGAGACAAAATACTATAGCAGCAACCCAGCTGTGCACACTCACTTTTACACTTCTATCAGGGGTCCAGCCGTCATCACCTCACTTCTCAGGACTGTGCTTTGTATAGGTGAGAGGGGGACCATTTTTGCTGAGACCTGGACAGCAATGAACACTGCACTCATCACAATTTTATTTTAAAGCTTTCCCCTTGCTCTAAACCCTACAGAGGCATTGGAGGACAGGGACAGCATGTGTGCTGTGTATCCCCCTCCTCCTGATATTCCCTSCATGGAAGGGCAGATCTTCACAGCAGCAAACTTAAACCTAGCTGCAATAGGCTGTTTTTTCCAAGTTATTTCCTATATCCTTTACAAATGTGTCATGAATCCCAAATGTGTCATGAACAGCAGGACAAAGCCTGCTATTTTCTCCACTGCACCCTTACAACTTTCCAGCTTAAAGCTTACCTCAAAGTCCACACTTTTGGTCAGCTGCAGCTGGGAGTCCTGGATTGTAAAATAAGTGGCATCAGGAGAAGAAGGATCCACCGTTACGGTGAAGCCCTGTTCCAAAGTGATAGTGGCCACTACGTAGCCAGGCAGGTTATTTTCATTGACACTGGGTTTCTGGTTATCCACAGAACATCCTGGAAAGAAAACATGCAAGCGAGATACGGAATTGCCCAGCAGTTCATGCCACAACAGATTTGGGTCATGCCTGAGACCTTTCTAGGTGCTATTGGAGATAAGATCCTGGAACAAAATAGACCTGAAGGACAGAGATGAAAAGCCACCCACCAGCTTTAAAGCTGCAATCAGCTGCTGTGAGAGTGATTCCTTGGTGGATACAACTTACCTTGCTGAGCTGAAACGTGTGTTATGGAAGGCAGCAAAAAGATCACGGAAGTGAAGAACCAGTGAGAAATGGCCATGGTGAGTGGCAGATGGTTGAAGAAAAAGCCTTGTTTCTGATGCAGCCGATCCTGTTGTCTCTCTGTTGCTCCCCGTGTCTTGTTGTTCGCTCGCCACTCCAGGGAGGCAAAAAAAATATTGGCTTTTCCAGGCGAACTGCTGCAGTTCAACCTTTGCCTCCTTGCCTGATTGGATGCTTATCTAAGGATATTTCGTGGGCACAGAGTGCAATAAGGAACAAGCCGCATTTTTTCTTTTGTCCCTGGGTCTTTCTGCTCCGTAACCCCATCCAGGGCTCAGGAAATGCTTGGAGCAGTTCAGAGCTAAGGCCCTGAAGTGAGTGCAGAGGAGGACAAGGGCTAACACTTGGAAAGCTGCCTCTGTGCCCCAGCCTTTCCCACCAGCAGAAGAGTAGGCAAATTTGTGATTCTGGTACCTCCGGGATGTGGTCTGTGTTGGCGGGATCATTTCCTGAAACAAGCAGCAAGTATGTTTATATATTCCCTTCCCAATACCTGAGTATTTTTTTAGCCAGGCTTTGCCTGCCTGGCCCTCCTTCCCCTTTATAACAGGTTTTGCTCTCCAGCCCATGACATCTCGTTTCTCTCTTCTAGTTCCATTTTTGTGGTGTCCCTAGACACATTGTGGTGGCATTTTGTGGTGTCCCTAGACATAGATGAGCAGAGCAGGACTGCAAGTGGGGTATCAATGCTCCTGCTTGTGATTTAGTGTTTTCCAGTGCAGAATGAATCCCACTGGAGGGGCTAATGGTGGACGAGGACAAAACCCTGGCACTGCTTTAGGTGACTAAGCACTCAGCTGACTTTTGCTGCTTGCTCAGAGGTTTGGGTTTCACGGTGAAAAAGCAGGGTTGGGAAGTAACAGTGGTGCTGTGTAGAACCATGACACTGACAGCCAGGGCAGTTTACAGCCTGTCATTTCCGCAGCTGGGACCTTCCAATTCACCTTCAAACATAAACCATTTAATCTGTGCTTTGCTTTCCCTGTCCACAGATGAAGGGAGAGAAACACCTTTTTTTCCCCCTCCCCACATTTTATTTTACCGTAGGCAGGCAGTGGCAAGGAGAAGGAACACCTTGCTTGCCAGGCGGCCACGGAGTCCATATCTTGCCCTGATCCCTCCCTTACTACATGGAGACCTGTCTGCGCACGAACAGCCCTTTGGCAGAAGATCATGACTTTGTGCTGCCTCCTGAGGTGTCTGCAAGGCTTTTCCCGTCCCCGGGCTCAGCAGCGCTGCCAGGGCTCCCTCCTGCGACGCGGAGGGGTATAGGTGTGTATGGGAGGAAGGGCTTGGAGGAGGGAAGGGGACACAGGTCACAGCTCCACCTTGAAAATGCTGTGAAAATGCTGTGGGGCATTAGGAGAAGTAGAGGTGGTCTGAAAGGTCTAGAGGGCTACGGATGCCCTCCAAAAGAGGAGAGTGCGCAGAAAGCGGCTGCTATCCCGAAAAGGACTTTTTTTTCTAATTAAAATTGGAATGTTTTATCCTTATTGCTAAAATGGCAAAGGTTTTGGTGAAAGACCAAGCYAACTTGGCTGCATCCTCAGAAACTCACAGGGATTGAGCCAAACAGTCATTTTTTTCTGAGATGATCGCTCTATTTCCAGCCACCCAGCAGTACCCACGCAAGATGAGTAGAGCAGATCCAGAGATGGAGACCGAGGTCATCCACAGCCAAGTCCGTAGGGACAAAGCAGGTCCCCTTCAGCTGGTAGCTCTTTGTAGGGATGCTCCCTTGAATCCCTGTCCAGGCTCCAGCTACTTGCCCCTCAGCAGATCCCTGAACCTTCAATAGCATCACCTCATTCTGWCTGTTTCTGAGACTGTAAGTTTTTTTCCATGTTCTTTTCCAAGCTTTTCCCAAGTTTTATGCAGCAAGACTTTTGGCTACTTGTTGTGCAAAAGAGCTACTGATGTTGTGGACCTACCTCTTGTGAAGGAAGGGGAAGGCAGTAGCCACCCTCCAGACCCTGGAGAAGATCTTAGATACCACACTTTAGCCAGATGGCTATTAGTGGCTTAATAAGATACAGACCATCCAGACTCCCTCCATACGTCCTCCCAGAGGTCTCTCTCCTAGCAGAGATTTCCTGGCAGCCAAAATAATCAAAAGCCAAGGCCCATGAGAGGCAGGAGCAGCATTTCAGCATCATGGAAAGGAGGTGGGTACTCAGAGGGACATCTGGGACAGGCTAATTGCCTTTTAGATGTTGGGTACATGGTAGAAAAATGGAGATGCAGAGCGGACCCAGCAGTTTCTCAGTAAACACAACATGATCACAACTGAAGATACCTTTTGTGGAGAGCTGGTCTTCAAAGTCCATTGGTTTCATAGGACAGGTGGAGATGGGTTCTCAGCAGAGACAGCCCCAAACCCATCCTACTGACACCAACCAGCCAGTGCTGGGCCACAGCCACCAGAGATGTGGCCAGAGTCTTGAGTTGCCTCAGCATGCAGTACACCAGTAGAGAAACCACGGTAAAATACTTCTCCCAGTCACCTGGTGTTCCTAATCATCCAAAATCTAATAATCTTGGTACCACGCTCAATAATGTTCCYCCAAAACCAGCCCAAGCGCAAGCATCGCCCACACATTTTTATTAGTCTGCAGAAGTAGGTAGCCACATGCTAATGCATGGTAGATGTGATGTGCTTCATTCAGGCTCCATCCACTGGCACTAGTTCCCACTAACATACATTTTCCTCTTGCTTACCTAAGTGTTTTCACTGCTTTTTAGCTGATTTCTAGAATTTAATGTTATTTATTTGCTGATCTCAAGAGTCTCCCTTAAGCAAAATGCAATCTCTTGCTAGTTTATTTTCAAGGCTATTTACATGCAAGGCCATCTCTTTGGATGTTTTTGACTGATTATTGGCTTTTGCTTCACCTCTAGTCAAAACTGTCCCCATTTTCCTTCATCTCTGCCACCAGCTGCTTGGAGATAGGGCAGATGTACTGGCTGGTAAGTGCGGCAGCTTCCCTGGCATCACTGCTTGAGCGGCTGTCAGGAGGAGAAGAGAGATGGGTGATAGTTTTTTTTCAGGAACTGTCTTTAGGTATTTCAAGTATCAAAAGGAAATCTATCTGGCTTCAACACTGTGGCAGTGAGGGCTGTAGAGGTACCAAGAGGAGAAATGAGTCCCACCTACCTGGCATTCAGAAAGCTCTGGTACAGCCACATAAAGCAATGATCCTCATGGCTTTTCTCCTCCTCTCTGCCCATCACATCGGCATTGACTGAGCCCAAAGAGCTTGTTTAGACAAGGAAATTAAAAATAAATAAACAAATAAAACAAGGAGTGTGGCCACCACAGTTACAAAGCATCACTGCACTCTGCAAGGCAGGTTCACCCATCAATGACCTGCCCTATGATCATATGGCCACACTCTGTTAACTTGTTGTCACCTCAGCCCTACTGGAAAAGGTATGAGTATCCTCTTCAAATCAGGCTCAGATGCTTTTTAAGCACTTTTTTATTGTGTGGTTCGTATGCTTGTAATTCACTTGTGACAGTATGTGCAAGGTAAGTCATGGACCTACCCCTGAAGGATACCAAATTTGACAGCAAAAAAAACGTGGTTGGGGAGTATAAAACACAAAGCCCTTTTGAATTGTGCTATGGCACCTCTTTTCCCATATGATTTATTTCAAATGGGTAGGTCACCTCCAGCTTTCCCTGAAAAATGACCCCCTGATGCAAAGAGAAAACCCCAGCCTGTTATCCGAAGTTTTGTCCTCTGAGGTAGGTCTCAGTATCACTGTATGCAACAGAAAATGATGCCTTGTATTGAGAAGCAACCTCAGTGAAAAGGTTTGTGTCCTACTGTCACAGGCAGAGCAGGCTTGTGGCACATCTCTGCTTTTGCATAGCAGCCAAGGGCACAAGTTGGCAGGAGACTAGGCCCCAGGCCTCTTGCCTCGAGTTTCCCAAACCACTGGCTATATCTGCCTCTTTCCCTGGAGATGAGACCCGTGTCCCTGCAGCCTCTGTGGAGGCTGATGGAAGGCTCCAAGGCACTTCCCCGTTTCCCAGGAGGTAAAGGTCTTACCTGCGCTTCCGGCCCATGAGGTTTTGGATGAACTTCTGAACCTGAGCATTTCCTCTCATCTTGCTGTATTCACTGGTAAAGAGCCCATCTGAATGTCTTTGGAACCTGCAACAAGGAAAATGAAGGATCATAAGACCACACAAGTGACGTGTGACTCTGGTGTCCCTTCCTGTCTCCTCTCATCTTCTGCATCGTGTGGATAAGATCAGCACTGGGACTAGCTTTGGAGCTGGAAGCAAMTCAGCCCCAAGGGCACTCCCTTGGCTGAGACCCCGTCTCCCATTGGAGATGTCCCTGTCCCAGGAGGGTGGTTTGGGTTCCTCCATACCTCTCCTTCAGGCCCACTGGGTGCTTGGCTAGCTGCTGCACATAGGCATTGTCATTCATCTTGCTGAGCTCACTGTGGAAGAGCCTGTCAGCGTGTCTCTTGGTCCTGAGAAGTTAGAAGAGGAAACCTGGATGGGCGTTTAAAACTTTACCCTCAATTTGGCAAAGGATTTGCATGAACTGAGGCAAATTCATAAAATTTCACAGAAAAGCAAATCCTGTACAGGTTTAACTATCATAGAGCAAAATCTCCTCTTACTAAAGTAATTACCATAAGGGTATGGGAATATGGGGATGTCTGTATAACAGCTATTCAATATCAAAACTAGGACAAAAGACAGGAGAAGTAATGAATTAAACACCCTCAGACWCACAATCGCTGAGGAACAGGCAGTTGATAGTGATGGGCATGAGGAGAGCAATTCTCCGGTGACTGAAGGGCCATTGAAAGGAGGGCTCAAAACCTCAACAAGGTTCAACCAGAGCTTTGAGCCGGACTAGTCCAAGGGCAAGATAAAGGCTCTGGAATCCAACTACAGATCTGGACTAGATTCTCAAGAGACTCTGTGTGTGAATTTATGAAGGTCACAGAGAATGGGAAGAGAAGAACCTTTGACTAGATTTCCAGGTAGCAGATCCTTTGAGCAGAAGGCCATGAGAGGAAGGAAGTAGAGGCAGGAGAGACGCTTACCTCTCGTGCAGTGGAAGGGATGCTGAGAAGTGTGAGAGGACAATCATGGGAATGATTAGCCGCCACAGACCAGTCATCAGGGAAACCATGGTGTCTCCTAAATKAAAGCATATGGTTTTATAAGCAGTAAAGTGAATGTCCTTGCTCTTTGTCATCTGCAGCTCATACGACACATAGAAGGTTATAGAAATAACACCACTATAATTAAATTAGGTAGGAATTTCTGCCAAAATGATAGTATTTCTTGAAAACTATATATTGAGTCATTATCATGAAGTTCTAAGCCATTTGCAGTTGCTGTCCCTGTCACCACAACATCACCAGCTCTGGARCATGGGCCTAAGGTCATCTTTGTAAGGATGATATTTGTGCTAGGGTATTGGTGCAAATCAGTATGATGTGCCTTGAATACGCAGAGRGGTGTCATGTGAGTTAATCCACGAGTGGCCCAACACTGTGGAATTAACCCCATTCCCTGAGAGCTGAGACTTCAGAGAGAGGATTTAAGCCACCCATCAAAACATCCCTCACAGACAGTTATTAACATGTCTAGGGGAAGCCCAAGAGAAATTGCTTTTCTTTTTTTAAGTCCTTTGGCTACCTGAGGTCCTTTAGCTGAAGCAAGTGTGGCCTGGGCCGGGCCAGTGCCTGGGAGCAGCTCTGCACTTCCCAGCAGATGAATCCCCCTACTCAAACACCATCTGGCACCCAAGGCCTTTGCCTAGCCAAGTGTCCCATCACGCTGAGGGGATGCTACCACGAGGAGAGCTTTCTGAGAGGAGTGCTCTAAGCCCAACATACCTCGTTGCTCCTGCKCATTGGTAGGCTCTACCTACAACTAAGGCAGACACGCATCTGGTTCAGCCGCTGTTTGAGCTCCGTCCTTTCCTTTGGTTGAAAAGCCCGCCATTACCCACACTGCTGACACACGGCCTCATGGCAACAGCTTGGCAGAGCACAACRAAAGCCCCCAATCCACCACCCAAACCTTGAACCAAGGGAGGACACGGTGTATCCAGGCTGACTGCATCAGTACAGCAGTACTCACCACGTGGGGCTCACTCAGGGCTCTCAGCTGCGTCGTGGCTGTGATGCACCACTGGTCCTCTCCTCTCCACAGCCCCCTATAAATCTGCAGCCCTTATCAGGAGCAATTACTTGGGTAAAGATGGGAATAGAAGTGATCGTGATTAACCACAGATACTGCATCCGGGTTGAAATGTCCTTTTAATTACTCGGTAAACCCATTCAGGTTGTTCACAGCAATTCAAGTCAACATATTTTTGCTGATGTGTAATAGCGCCTGTTTGTGTGTTTAATTAGAGTAATTTGCTGGACAAACAGCCCTGGACCGACTGATCCATTATGATTGTCATAATTATCTCTCTTCCTGGCTTTAATTGCCTCTTGATAGGAGCTTAATCTTCTATTCTCCTTTTTTTAATTCTGGTTCGGGTTTTGTTTGCAATAACCAGCAAGATTGAATGAGCACGTGTGTGCATCTCCTATTTGTCGAAACAACCTGTGGCTTTTTTGAGGGCAAACATTGACTGATTGGTAGGATGAGATGCAGCTTCTGCATGAGGGGACTGCGCTTTTCAAGCTGCAGTTTCATGGCCAGGTCTGGGCAAGGTCTGGTGAGACCAGACTGAATCATAGCTTTAAAGCAAGATGCATAAGAAAGATCTGCATGAGAAACATACTGAATATACYTCCCGCCTTCCTCAGGCTTTGGGGTTGGCTGCTTTCAAGCACTTCTAGTAAAGATGACCTACAAAAAAAGGGAAAAAATAGGATTATTTTTCTCTCTCTTTTCTGCTTCTCTATTTTGTATAAAGTACCTTGGAAGGATTAAGCATTATAAATACTTGCTTATCTTCCAACTGGGAAAATATGAGCGACATTGCACATTTTCTTGTCTATTTTTCTTTTTTTTTTTTCCTTTGAGGGGAGCAAAGGGTGTCTCTATGAATAGAGGGCTTGGAATGACCTGGCTTTTCCATGTCATCCTTGGAAGGATAAAGCCTATTGACTGCTCTAGCATATTGCCTTTATAACTGCTTTCTGCCGCAGCAGGAGCACTATCATTTCTCTCGCAGGCCCCCCACCAACTCTCTGATAAACTTGTGTGCATGTGTTGATATGGCCTCATTCAAAGAATTTTGTTCTCGATAAACCAGGTGCAGATGTGTTGTGGGTCACATGCTCCTGGCATTGCCCCTGGGTGAAAATCTGAAATAGAAGAAGGCCCTGTAGGGACAAGGAAAAAAAATTAAGTAGACATCCAAACAACATTCGAGATGTTAAAAATGACCRATGTGATGCCCTCACCTTTGTAAATAGCCTCAGTGGGGCTGCTGTGCTCCCAGACCCTTGGAGAACACCGTTTGCTGGGAATGCCCCAGTGCCCAGGTAAGATGCTCRCAAGAGCTTGCAAGGATGCTGGATGAAATGGCCCCATGATGGCAGCAGAGGGTGACTTACAGCAAAGAAAAAGCTTTCAGATACGGGGAGAAGAAAGGAAGTAGCCTGACAGATATAGCTGCCTCATAGGTATGGAGACAGGAGTGATAAAAGATGAGGCTATTTAGCAATACCAGCTGTCTGGAGCTTTGTGAGTTTGCATCTGTGAGCAAAGCGGGAGTAGTGACTCCCCCTGCTCACATCCAGGAGCAGGCACAAAGGTGTGATTAAACCATCTATGTAATCACTGTAATTGAATCTAGCATCACTGGGCAGCATCATTACAGAGAAAAGCTCCTAGTCATTGACTCAGAGAATGACAGTGGAAATGGAAAGTTTTGCCCTGATTGAGCTTCTCGTGAGCTTCTCATGTAGCTGTCTCACCCAAATCTGCAGAACACCAAGGCTGAACTGAACCTTGCCATCTGCTGCCATCTGGGCCCAGACCCGATGAAACCAAACGCATCTCCCCCAGACTCAGTCCCTAGCTGGGAGAAAGGCCGGGAACCACCAGCCTGGAGGTATCACAGTGGAGTTTGTGGACTCTCTGCTTTGAGAGAGGATGGAGCCCATCACAGTGTTGGCTCAAGCCCATAGCTCTCTGCATGCTCAGGAAAAACTCCTTAGCTGAAARGCAAAAAAAAAAGCTCAGCTGAGCTGGAGCTCAGCTGTGGATGCATGCCATCCCAAATTGCACTACCAAATGAAGACCTGTCTCTGCTTCAGCACCAAGGCCATGGACCAAGCACCAAGGCAAGCACTCAGCCACATCTCCCTGTAGCTGGGTTTCATGATCTGACTGAACCCCATTTCCAGGGGCCATGGAGAACAGCTGGCACAGTCGTCTTGGGGATCAAGCAGCCTGTAGAGATCCTGAATGCTAGGGGAGCCAAAATGGACCAGCAAGTAGGAGCAAGTAGGAGGATTAAAGTCACCCAAAGAGATCCATAAACGCACAAGCTGGACCCCATTATGAAGGTGTCAAATTTGAGCGTGGCATAGAGGAAGGTCCTTTTACTCCTCTCTGTAGAGGAACTGAAAGGGCAACAAATTTGCAGTGTGAAATGTGGAATCCTATGGCTATGTTAAATATGCTGATTAATCGGACACAGACACACAGGAAAACTCCAAAAAGGCTTAGGTGGCTGCACAAAAAGATGAAGGAGAGATTTTGCCTGATGTGTCTCCTAAGGCTCACTGGAAAAATCATTGTTTGAACAGGGCTTTARCAGTTTTGAAACACTGAGCTGTTATGGTCAGGCTTGGGAGATGCAAAAGGAAGGATGGAGAAAGAAAACAGCTGGATGGAAACACTGCCATCGCTCTCACTGGAAAYGTGGAGGACCACAGCAGTCCTGGCTCTCCAACAGTATCTGCCTCCTCTGCAGGACCAAAGGTGGATGGTCCACCAGCAACATCACAGCCAAAGGTGAAGCACCAGCCCTGACTCAGGTGATAGTCAYGAGGGCTGTCTTTATCTTGGGTCTGCAACTGCATGGGACACCCTCAAGGTACAACCATATGTGGGTGAGATGGTCAATGACTTGGTTTGTACGGCTTTGGAACAGCCCAAACTGTCAAGGTGAGGCAGGACAGCAAGTGCCTTAGGAAAGAAATTCAAAGAAATTCAGACATTTCTGGAAAAATCTGGCACCTGGAAATGTGGAAATCAGGCTTTGGCACTGGAAGCTGAAGCTGCTCCTAGGGAATTTTGGTCTATGGAGATCAAGGGGAGGCCCATTGTCATCTGTCTCTTCAAGTAGTCATTACTGAAGGACAAAAGAGACCCCCCATCAGGTCAGACCACTGGTGTCTCTTGCCCCAGATTTGGCAATGTTTAAGGAGAGCACATGAGCCTGGCTGGTTTTGGTGATGCAGTCCTGCAGAGCAAGGAAAAGGCAAAAGGCTTCTGGAGAGGACAGRATTTTATTGTACAGCTACATGTGGGACCAATCCTGCCCTGTACCCTAAGAAGGATGCAAGTGGACTATGAAAAATATCAACCCGGTGCTCCAAAGTGTTGTCCTGAGCTGGGAAAAGGGACAAATTCCCTCTCATCTTTCAAGGAAATCTATATGGGATATCAAAAGAAGGCTTTGGGACTGGAAGAGTAGTATGGTTGAGCCCAGTCTCCATGTCCAGAGAGGAACAGGCCTCTTTAGGAACAGTCCTACAAGGTGCTCAGGAGCAGACCAGGAGCCCCATGYGATGGTGGCACCCACGGATGGCCTGGGAGTTATCGAGGTCAGACAGTACCAGGAACTGCACKGCTAAATCCTTCCTACGTAAAAGTAAAATACCCTTTAATCAGCTTATAGGGTGTTCAGGAACTTCTGCCTCCCCCGTTCTTTTTTTTATTTCCTATGTTTTTAATATGTATGCATGTGAGTCCATGTGTAGACAGGGGGGCTTCTTCTTTGGATCTCCAGGTGAGCCTCCCACRCCATCAGGAAGCTGATGAAGATACTGCTCTTCATGGAGGGCAGAGTCGCATCCTTTTCTTGCACCACTCCCAAAGTGTGCAGGAGAAAGGACCCTAATTGGAATCAGGGGACTGGGGGGGCTTAGCCTGCCAAATGCTCCTTTCCTTTACAGGATGGTTTCAGGAATGGTTTTAATCTTTGTCACCTGATTAGTAACTTCGCCTGCCAAAGGAGAGAGTGGGATAGGAAGAAGTGAGAGGAATAGGGCAGCTACGGGCGGCCTTGGAGGAGGAAGGGGAAAGGAAAATCCCAGGACTGTAGGGCTTGCTGGCACCTCAGGACACCACCTAACCTGTGCCAAGCTCCAAAGCAGGTTGGGTTGTTCTCATCCTTGAGGCTATGCTCCAAGGCAGCTTGGGTCTTAGCAAGGGGGAAATTGCTCTAGGCAAAGCAGGTACCTTCAGCACGGGCTCATGAACACAGCAGTTGCCACCAGAACTCTCTGCCCAGTTGCAGTGGACCTCATGCCTCAACGCTGAGCTGCACCAAGCAACTAGCCCCGTGGCAGAGCTGTGGGCTCTCCCATGGGCCTGGCCTCAACACGGTCAGAAGGGCCATCAGTAGTCGTATTCTCAGCCTCCAGCTGCTGGTCCTGCCAGGGGAGGCATTGAAAGCATTGCGGGGAATTAAGTTTAATTACCAGCTGGGCCTGGCACAGCTGGTGCAGGTGTGCACCATGCCCAGCAGCTCCAGGCCACCCTGYACAAGTGGATCCCTGCAGCTCGCTGCTGTTTCAAAACGAGCCCTGAAGTGCTCTCATGTGTTCAAACCCTTGTATTTTGGCAGGTCCCCTCTAGATGACAACAATTACATGGGTAGGTCTGGAGCCGGGCAGCCACGGAACCATCTGGTCTTGATCATAAGCTACAAAAGACAGCGAATCCATCAGTTTTCKTTGTAGCTTCACTCTCACAGCTGAATTGCCATTAAAAATGTATGAGTTTCCCCCTCTTAACATGGATTTATYTTAACTCGCCAGGATTTTAAATGTGAAATGCTGTATTCAGTGTGCATATAAATCCCCATGGCATCTTGCAGGGCCAGGGAGATGGGAAAGCCAAGAGAGAGCCCTGCCATCCTCTCCTCTCTCTCGCAAAGGTTAACTTGAAAGGTGGGATGGATGAATAGATAGATGTCCACTGCCTCCATCTTTTTTCTTGGAAATGGATTACAGGAAGAGCAGGACAGACTTTGGATGAGACCTTCATAGAGAATTGCTCAGCAATAAACACGTCAAGGAAAAGGAAGGGGATTGGCCTTAAAAGCCGTTTATGAGCCTCCCTTTGTACTTGCAAGCGGTGATCTTTTTGCTTAGCTCTCAGGACACTATTCAATAGCCAAGCCAAGGCATGTTTGTGCTGAAGCTTTGGCAGGTAATTTTGCTCTCTCCTGTTTAAAAATTCAGTGCTTCGGGTGGAGGAAAAAAAGCAATGATGAAAAGTTCTGTCTCTTCTGGGAGGTGCTGACAGATGTCTCGCTTTGTTGCCTCCCCAGCCCTTTGAATTGGCTCCTTTCCTGCATTAACTCTTGCCAGGAGGGTCTCTGAGGACACCTCTGTGAGTTGGGATCCTGTGAGCAGATGAGGTCCTTGGCCAAATGGGATCCCACAGCCTCATTTTTGGCCGGAGATGAATCCCTGGCCCAGAGATGCTTCATCAATGGAGTGGCTGGAGAGTCAACCTGCCAGCTCACAGGAGGGGAAACTGAGGCCTGCTCTTCTGTGATGCTGGGGTGGCCCTGCTGGTAGGAAGGCAGAATAAAACATTTCTTCTGTTGAGAGAGGCACCGTCCAGAGCCCCTCCGTCTCATTGCCCCAAGCCACCATGCTGTGACCATGCAATGGATGAGGAAGAACCCTTGGCATCCTGCTCAATGCAGCAAATGAAGSCAGGGGACAAGGACGGCGAGCGATGGCACGCGGGCACAGAGGGTCCACGCAACTCAGCAGCTGTGAGAGCAGGAATTATAGCGAGTTTGTGGTAGAACTGCCCTGGTTAGTCCTTCGCGTGGCTGCTCCTTTGTGGAAGTCAAAAGCCTTATTTCACATCAGTTTAATCCACCCCAGGATTAAACTGCTTTAGGATTAAGACACCACTGGTCTGGAATAAGGGCTTCCGTGCTGAGTCAAGAGCCATTCTGCAAGAATCCCATGGGGAAAATCAAGATAATTAATACAAATTAACTCTTACTGTGGATTAGATAAACGACATTTAATCCCTGTGGGAAGGCAGAAGGCCTGTGGCTGCCACTCCATCCTGATCCCTTTGCTGCTCAAATAAATTAGACTTAAATAAATTATGCATGTTCCATCCACATGGGGGTTCAGTGTAGTTTAATTAGTTCACTTCAGGCTCCTCATTTAGCTAATTTGAATTGATTTCCTTGAGTATAAGGGCTATAATAAAAAGTGGTTCCCTTGGAGCAGCTCTGCTTTGACCAATGTCAATGGCCGTGTGGGCAGTTGGGTTTTGGGGACTGACCACCAGACCAGGAAAGCTGTGACTAGGTGACAGAAACCAACAAGCTGATGCAAATCAACTCTGTTGAGACATATATACAACATATAATTGGGGGCCATATCAGAATCACAGAGTCCAACCCTGCTGCTCCCATGAGTCATCTAAAGTACATTGCTCAGGACTCTTCCAAATGGCTTTGGAATCACCAAGGATGGAGACCCTACCACCTCTCTGGGCAACCTGTGCCAGTGCTCTGTCATACTTAAAAAAAAAAATCCTTATGTTCAGAAGGACCTTTCTGTGTTTCAGTCTRTGGCCATTTCCTCTTGTCCTATCACTGATGATGGGGAGAGCTCAGTGGCAAGGAGAATTTGTTGACACTGGAGAGCTTGGTGACGAAATGAACTTGGTGATGGGGAGGTCTTGGGGATATGGAGAGCTTGGTGACAAGATGAGCTTGGTGACAAAGAGGAGCTTCTAGACAAGGAGGGTTTAGTGACATTGGAGAGCTTGGTGACAAGATGGGCTTGATGACAGAGGGGCTTGGTAATATGGATAGCTTGGTGATGGGGAGAGCTTGGTGACAAGGAGGACTTGGGTGATTTGGAAAGTATGGTGATGAGGAGAGTTTGGTGACAAGGAGGACTTGGTGATGGGGACAGCTTGGTGATGGTGAGAGTTTGGTGGCTTTGGAGAGCTTGGTGATGGGAAGAGCTTGGTGAGATTAGAGAGTTTGGTGATGGGGAGAGTTTGGTGGCACTGGAGAGCTTGGTAATGGGAAGAGCTTGGTGGCATTGGATAGCTTGGTGATGGGGAGAGTTTGGTGGCATTGAAGAGCTTGGTGATGGGAAGAGCTTGGTGAGATTAGAGAGCTTGGTGATGGTGAGAGCTTGGTGGCATTGGAGAGCTTGGTGATGGGGAGAGTTTGGTGGCATTGGANTTGGTGGCATTGGAGAGCTTGGTGATGGGGAGAGTTTGGTGGCATTGGAGAGCTTGGTAATGGGAAGAGCTTGGTTGCATTGGAGAGCTTGGTGATGGGGACAGCTTGGTGATGGGGAGAGCTTGGTGGAATTGGAAAGCTTGGTGATGGTGAGAGTTTGGTAGCATTGGAGAGCTTGGTGATGGGAAGGGGTTGGTGGTACTGGAGCTCTTGGTGATGGTGAGAGTTTGGTAGCATCGGAGAGCTTTGCAATGGGAAGAGCTTGGTGGCAATGGAAGAGCTTGGTGGCATTGGAGAGCTTGGTGATGGGAAGAGCTTGGTGGCATTGGAGAACTTGGTGATGGGGAGAGTTTGGTGGCATTGGAGAGGATGGTGGCATTGGAGAGCTTGGTGATGGTGAGAGTTTGGTGGCATTGGAGCACTTGATGATGGTGAGAGTTTGGTGGCACTGGAGAGCTTGGTGATGGTGAGAGTTTGGTGGCATTGGAGCGCTTGGTGATGGGGAGGGATTGGTGGCACTGGAGATCTTGGCAATGGAAGAGCTTGGTGGCATTGGAGAGCTTGGTGATGGGAAGAGTTTGGTTGCATTGGAGAGTTTGGTGGCCCTGGAGAGTTTGGTGGCAGCTCCCGCCCGCCGCAGCCCTCGCGGGGCGCTCGTCGGGGGGCGCCCGCACCGCGCTCGGCCGGGCGGGCGCGG